GGACAAATGGCTGTCCAGTCTCTTCTTAAAAACTTCCAGTGTTGGAGCATTCACCGCTTCTGGAGGCAGGTTGTTCCACTGGTTAATTGTTCTAATTGTCAGGAAGTTTCTCCTTAGTTCTAGGTTGCTTCTCTTTTTGGTTAGTTTCCATTCTGTTGTTTCTTGTCCTGCCTTCAGGCGCTTTGGAGAATAGCTTGACTCCCCCTTCTTTGGGGCAGCCCCTGAGATATTGGAACAGTTATCGTGTCTCCCCTCGTCCTTCTCTTCGTTAAACTAGACATGCCCAATTCCAGCAGCTGTTCCTTATGTGTTTTAGCCTCCAGTCCTCTAAACATCTTTGTTGCTCTTCTCTGCCCTCTTTCCAGAGTCTCAACATCTTTTTTACATCGTGGTGACCAAAATTGGAAGCAGTATTCCAAGTGTGGCCTTACCAAGGCATTGAAAAGTGATATTAACACTTCACCTGATCTTGATTGCTAAGCAATCGTGGCTGTAAGTCGAGGGCTACCTGTATAGCAATGGATTCAGGGTCCTGGGTGGGGGGGTGGGAGATGGGGTAAGAGTCGGGATAAATCATCCCCCAATACTCTTTCAATTGTCATGTTTCCACCTAATGAAACACTTCAAAGAACTTCCAGGCATGTTTATTCCAAAACCTTTATTACCAGTGTTACAAATTGATAGCACATCATGGAGGTTTATGCCACAATCTGAATTCCTCTTGCTGGCATCTAACTTTTCTTGCTAAACCCCTCCCTTATCTTGCAGTCACAAGTCACATCTTCCAATTAGCCCAGAGGGCAGAGATTCACTTCCTGTTCCTTTTCCCGGGCTTTTGTTATTTCCCCTCCCTTTTCTCTGTCATCTGAATTAACTCTAAAAATACCAAACAGTTCTGCATATTTTGTCAAAGCGAGTATATTCAATATTAGCAGCGTTGACACCGGTACTAGAATAAATTCAAACTAGTAAGTCATGTTTCCATGGAGACAAATCTAACTCTGTGGTCGCTAAGAGTCAAGACCAAGTTGATGGCACATAATCAAACAAGATTGGTTTTAAGAGTAGGGCAGGAAGACTGGATTCTGAAAATATCTTTAAATGAAGACTAAATGGACCTCCGTTGAGGACGCTCTAAGGATGAATTCCTGCCCTGGGAAGGGCTGGGATCAGATGATCCCTTTCTAATCTCCCGTTCTAGAATCCCCTAAGGATGTCCCTGAATTGTGTACATAGGAGATCTTCTCTCACGTTCTCCCAAAAGAGACATAAGGACGTTACAAGCCGTCGTGGCTTCATTACGGAGTTTGACATGATACCAATAAAAGCAGAATATTTCTAGCTCAAGGTTGAAATGAAGGGTCCTCGGTGTTTCATCATCAGTGTTAGAAGGGAGTAGGGTTTGCGGAGAGGAGGAGGAGGAGGAGGAGGAGGAGGAGGAGGAGGAGGAGGACTACTGTAGGGTCCTTGACATTCTCTGAGCTTGTTTTCTTGCAGACGTTTCATGACCCAGTTAGGTAACATCATCAGTGTTAGAAGGGAGTAGGGTTTGCGGAGAGGAGGAGGAGGAGGAGGAGGAGGAGGAGGAGGAGGAGGAGGAGGAAGGGGAGTGGGAGGGGGAGGAGGACTGTGGGGTCCTTGGTGCTCTCTGAGCTCAGTGGTTTTCTTGCAGATGTTTCATGACCCAGTTAGGTAACATCATCAGTGCTAGAAGGGAGTGGGGGTTGTGGAGAGGAGGAGGAGGAGGAGGAGGAGGAGGAGGAGGAGGAGGAGGAGGAGGAGGAGGAGGAGGAGGAGGAGGAGGAGGAGGACGACTGTGGGGTCCTTGGTGCTGTCTGTGCTTGGCTGTTTTCCTGCAGATGTTTCATGACCCAACTAGATAACATCCCCAATGCTAATATTAATATATTACCTAGTTTGGGTCATGAAACATCTGCAAGAAAACCACCAAGCTCAGAGAGCGCCAAGGACTCCACAGTTCTCCTCCTCTTCTCCACAAACTTCATTCCCTTCTAGCACTGATGATATTACCTAGTTGGGTAATGAAATGTCTGCAAGACCCCACAGTCTTCCTCCTGCTCCTCTGCTCCTCCTCCTCACAAACCCCACTTCTTTCTAGCACTGATAATGTTACCTAGTTGGGTCACGAAATGTCTGCAAGAAAACAACTAAGCTCAGAGAGCGCCAAGGAGTCCACAGTCCTCCTACGCCTCCTCCTCCTCCTCCTCCTCCTCCTCCTCCTCCTCCTCCTCCTCCTCCTCCTCCTCCTCGCAAACTCCACTCTCTTCTAGCCCTCATGATGTTATCTACTTTGGGTAATTGTTGGGGGGATTTCAGACCTTCCCTTCCCCTCTCTCTCTCTCTCTCTCTCTCTCTCTCTCTCTCTCTCTCTCTCTCTCTCTCTCTCTCTCTCTCTCTCTCTCTCTCTCTCTCTCTCCCGCTCCCTCCCTCCCTCCCTCCTCAAAATGAAGCCCAGATTTCTCACTGGACACGTTTCCTCTCCACGGTCCTCTTTCGGACTCATTGGGCTGGGCTGATGAAGCAAAGGACAGCTGGAGCTTATGTGGGACGAAAGTCTTCCCTAAGCGTTTGCAAAGAAGTGACACCAGCTTGATGGCCCTTCATCAAAACATCAATGGTTCTCAGCCTGCCTGCGAAGCAATTGAATCTCATCTTGTAATCACCCTGGGCGCCAGGCTTGCTGATCTGGCATTCGTGCGCTCCTGAAGTCATGCCAATCTTTTCCCCTGCGACGCGCCAAGTGCGCTCTTCGCAGCATGGAGTTGTTTGGAAACATGTGGCGGAGGTTTTGCATGAGCTGGAATCAGTGCCTCGATGCTTTGCTAGGCGTTCTTTATTTCTCAGAGGCTTTGTTTCTGTTTCTGCGGGAGACTTTAATTTTCCAATTTCACCCTTTGTTTCGGATCCTAAACTCATCCGTCCATGTTCTGATTCTGCCCCCAGAGTGAGTCACTCACTCCTAATCTCTCCATCTGTTCTGGTGCCGGCTTCAAAGGGGGTAGACGTGCGACAGGAAATCTTTTTTCTCCCCTCTGAAATTTATTATTAATCACTCTGGTAACCGGTTTGTGTCTTTTTTTAATGTGTACGCTTTATAGTAATGATCAGATTAATCCCAGGCAGAAGGTGATTAAGATTCGTAGTATGAATATGTGTGTTTACTGCAATAAGCAAGAATCTGAAGCCAAAACACAGCATACACTGGGCGTCTTCAGGGGGAGGGGGTGCCACGGTCCCCCTCCTCCCAAATTTATTTTAATGAGATAAGCCTTTGGACTAACCTAGCATTTTTCAACCTGGGCAACTTTTAATGAGTGTGTGGACTTCAACTCCCAGAATTCTGAGAGTTGAAGTCCACAAACGCTGCTGGGGAATTCTGGGAGCTGAAGTCCACAAATGCTGCTGGGGAATTCTGGGAGCTGAAGTCCACAAATGCTGCTGGGGAATTCTGGGAATTGAAGTCCACAAATGCTGCTGGGGATTTCTGGGAGTTGAAGTCCACAAATGCTGCTGGTGAAGTCCACAAATGCTGCTGGGGAATTCTGGCAATTGAAGTCCACAAATGCTGCTGGGGAATTCTGGGAGCTGAAGTCCACAAATGCTGCTGGGGAATTCTGGGAATTGAAGTCCACAAATGCTGACTGGGGAATTCTGGGAGTTGAAGTCCACAAATGCTGCTGGGGAATTCTGGAAGTTGGAATCCACAAATGCTGACTGGGGAATTCTGGGAGTTGAAGTCCACCCATCTTAGAATCTACAAGCTTTGAAAGGCTGAGAGATGGATTATCTAAAGACAGGGCTGTCCACAGGGAAGAGCTGAAGAAACTCAAGATGGTCTTTATAACCATACAATCCAAGGTCCACCCTTTAGACCAGGGGTGTCAAACTCAATTTCACTGAGGGCCGCATCAGCATTGCGTTTGCCCTGGGGGGGGGGTAGGGGGTGGCCTATTGGATGGGCATGGCCAGCTCTACATCATTCGCGTCAAGGGGGCCTGTGGGGGCCTGGGCAGGAGGGGGACAGATCTGAGGGTCTCTGGCAGAAGGGGGTGGGACCAGAGCAGAGCCCATCAAGCCAGATATGTGAAGTAGGCGAGGGCCATTTGCTGGCCACTTCCAGGCGATGGTGCATTTCTTCATTCCTCACAAAGGGTGACACCTCCCCAGCATGCACCCAGGGGGCGGGGGCGACACAGCAGGGGCTGGTTCCTCACTGTTTCCGGATGGCCTTGTAGAGCTAAGACTCAATGCGTTTCAGCATAGATGGCCACCACAAAATCGTACCTTGGCTCCCGGCCAGCCTGGGCCAGGGCCAAGGCAGCGGGGGCCGTTCCCTCACTGTTTCCAGGATGGCTTCGCGGGCCACATGAAACCACTTCGCTGGCCGCATCCGGCCTCCGGGTCTTGTGTTTGACATGTCTGTGGTATAGGGTGTCCTGCTTGAGCAGGGGGTTGGACTAGAAGACCTCCAAGGTCCCTTCCAACTCTGTTATTCTGTTACTTCTTCCTAGCTTAGAAACCTCCCCGTGATTGAGGCAATCTAAACATTCCTTGGTGCTGTCTCTTAACCGGGGCAAGTGCCAAAATGGCCACCACAAAATTGTACATTGGCTCCTGGCCGGCCTGGGCCAGGGCCAAGGCAACAGGGGCCGTTCCCTCACTGTTTCCAGGATGGCTTCGCGGGCCACATGAAACTACTTCGCGGGCTGCATCCAGTCCCCGGGCCTTGTGTTTGACATGTCTGCTTTAGACAAAGATTGTAGATTTCTTGGCCTTTTTTTGTCAAATTCTTCCTAGAGCTGTGAAAAGGGACAGGCCCCAAACCCTTCAGTTTGCTTCCTGCCTAAGCCAGGACTTGAACTCATGGTCTCCTGGCGACCCTAAGCACAAAGACGCGGTGACTTTTCTGCTTCGTTTATGGTAGCCTTAAACCCCTTTCAGCTCGTATAATTGGATTTGTGTCTTGGTTTCTCTTTAAGGAGTGATGCCCAGAACTTTCAAGATTAAGTATTGTGTCAGCTTGTGGGGGAAAAACATCACATGCTACTGGGATCTTCTGCCAGAGATGGATTCTCCAACCAACTACACCCTCCAAGTTACGGAGTAAGCATTACTCATGGGTCCTTTGAAGAAATTATTGGTGGGAGCTATGGGCAAGGCACAGTTGTGTCGTGCAAAGAGGACAACCAAAGCTTCTTGCAGCCTGCCTGAGCAGCGGGCTGGACTAGAAGACCTCTAGGGTTCTTTCCAATTCTGTTATTTTAGGTTTTATGTTGTTATAATAATAATATTAATAATAATAAAGTTGGAAGGGACCTTGGAGGTCATCAAGTCCAATCCCCTGCTCAGGCAGGAAACTCTATACCATTTCAAACAAATTGCTGTCCAGTCTCTTCTTAAAAACTTGCAGTGTTGGAGCATTCACTGCTTCTGGAGGCAGGTTGTTCCACTGGTTAATTGTTCTCACTGTCAGGAAGTTTCTCCTTCGTTCTAGGTTGCTTCTCTCCTTGGTTATTAGTTTCCATCCGTTGCTTCTTGTCCTGCCTTCAGGCGCTTTGGAGAATAGCTTGACTTCTTCTTCTTTGGGGCAACTCCTGAGATATTGGAAGACTGCTATCATGTCCCCTGTTCTACATCAGCAGTCCCCAACCTTTGTAGCTTGGGGGAGAGAGAGGGAAACTGTGCCACATGAGCGGCAGGCCGACATGCTCACGCATGTGCACGCAGCTCGACTGATGTGAGTGGCGTCCTGGCATATACACACACACACATGCTCAGTTGAGCTGCATGCATATGAGCATGCATGCCGGCCTGCCACTCCCGCAGCCCAGTGTAGTGATTCCTCGCCCGCTAGTGGACCCGGCAGCTGAGTCTGAGGAATCAGAGGAGGAGGAGGAGGGGCCTGAAGTGACATCAGAGTCAGAGGAAGTCTTTCAGGAGCTCCAAGACTTACAGTCGGATGAGGAGCCTGGCCCCTCTACTCGCGCTCGGACTGTGACACAGCTGTGCTGGAAGTCTGAGTTGGACAGTGATGAAGAACAGTTGGGACAAATCCAGGATGCATGAAAGTGCCGGCAAGAGAAGAGAGTAGGACAGAGGAATGCAATGGGGCGGCTCCAAAGGCAAAGGAGAAGGCATTAGGAAGCCACGCCTTGGCTGCCTAATAAAAGGGAAAGTGTGAGAAGTGGGACAGAACACCCAGTTCCAAATAGGCCACAACCCGGTTGTGGGCCACAACCCAGGGGTTGGGGACCCCTGTTCAAAATGATACTAGAATGACATTTAAGTACATTTTCTCTGGCCTGTTACTTGTGTCCAACTACAGATAGTCCTCAAATTATGATGGTAACGGAACCTGCCCATTCTGGATTTAAATCACGGGGGTAGCAAAGTGAGGCGGTCACGTGGCTGACTGACCTGATTTTATGATCTCCTTTTGCACTGGTCCTTAAGCAAACATTGAGTCCATCGTAGGGCTGGTTTTGGAATGGGACAATTCTCCACAGCCAGCTTGCCGCGGGACAATTTAACAATTCAATTTAACAATTTAAAATAAATTTTAGCGATATTATTATTATTATTATTATTATTAATATTGCTGGTTTCTTTTTCCCAGGGAAGCTGGACGCTGCCAAAGAGACTTTGGCCTCCCCAAGAATTGCGTGGCTGATCCAGGAGAACATTGGTGCGGCGTTCCAGTGGAGAACCTCTTTGCTTTCTACAAGATCAGATTAATTGCACAGAACCAGCAGCTGCGGACTGATTCCTTGGAGAGGTGCCTCCATGGAATGAGCATTGGTAAGCCAAGGGGAAGAGAGGGAAATTGGGCTCACCTGGGACAGGTAGTCCTAGTAGGTCCATGATTGATCCTTGCCCGTATGACCTCTAGCTTCTCCTTCTGTAGCTTGTCCTTCTCCTGCTTCTCATTATCTGGCTTCTCCTCTTCCTTCTCTTCCTCCTCCTCCCTCCGTCCCCTTCTTCTCCTTCTATGGCTTCTCCTCCTTCCTCCCCTTCTCCTCCTCCCTCCCTCCTTCTCCTTCTATGGCTTCTCCTACTACTACTTCTCCTCCTCTTCCTCCTTCTTCTATGGCTTCTCCTCCTTCCTCCTTCTCCTTTTCTTCCTCCTCCTCCCTCTATGGCTTCTCCTCCTCCTTCCTCTCCTTCTTCTTCTTCTCTTCTCCTTCTATGGCTTCTCCTCATTCTTCTCCTTCTCTTCCTCCTCTGGCTCCTTCTCCACTTCTAGCTCCTCTTCCTCTCCTCCTCCTCCGTGCTTTGAACCTGGCATTTTAATGCTCACTCTGTCTGCTTATCAAATCAAGAATCTCTCAAGTGTGCCAGGCCAAAATATAAATCAAATGAGTGAACAAGTGAGGTCGGGGTTCCTCTTCCTGTACAAGGCTAAAACCGTGTGGATGTTGCCTCCAATTTCCTTCCAGCTCTTCTCTGTCTTTTTACAACTCTCCCTCCCAACTCCTTTAGCCTGCCCTTGTAGAAACAGCACCATTGTGTAGAGGTTGTGTACTCCTACACCCTTATGTCTGAAATCATTCCAAGGAGCCGCTGAACTCTTCGTTTTCATGCTTGAACCTTGTGAAATTGTATAGATTCAAACCCAGCTCTCTTCAACCCGGCACTCAAGCATTAAAGCAGGGGGTTGGACTAGATGACCTCCAAGGTCCCTTCCATCATCATCATCATCATTATTATTATTATTGCCAATGGGGTGCCAAGTCCAAACTTCAATTCTTCAGTTTCAGCTCTTGTACCCAGCAGGACAACAGGAGTTATAGTCTGAAATTTATCTGAAATGCTATAGGGTTTCCTGCCTGAGCAGGGGGTTGGACTAGATGACCTCCAAGGTCCCTTCCAACTTTATTATTGTTGTTGTTGTTGTTGTTATATACAAGTAGTCCTCGACGTACGACCACAATTGAGCCCCAAATTTCTGTTGCTAAGCGAAGAAAGAAGTGAATTTTGCCCCATTTCACGACCTTCCTTGCCACATTTGTTAAGTGAATCACTGCCTTTGTTAAGTTAGTAACCCAGCTGTTAAGTGTATCTGGCTTCCCCCATTGTCAGAAGGTCACAAAAGATGATCACACGACCCCGGGACACTGCGACCATCATAAATATGAATCAGTTGCCAAGGGCCTGGATTTTGATCACACAATTTTGGGGATGCTGCAACCGTCATGTGAAAAACGGTCGCGTTTTTTCAGTGCTGCTGTAACTTTGAACAGTCACTAAATGAATTGTTGTAAGTTGAGGACTATCTGCATCTGTAGGGCTTCCTCCCAGGAAGACTGGTGAAATCTCTACAACCTTGTTTTTTTGAGGTATAAAAGAGCTCAGTCCTTATAACTCTGTGTCAAGGTATTAATTTAATAGCTAAACAGCTTATGTAATGATGTAATGTAATGTTAGGCGGGTGGTGCAAAGATAGGAATGACTCAGCAGGGTCTGTGTCTCTTTAAGAGCAAGCAGGGTCTGCGGATGGTGCAAAGATAGGAATGACTCAGCAGGGTCTTGTCTCTTTAAGAGCAAGCAGGGTCTGCATCTCTTTAACAGCTTGAGTATAAAGGGGAAGGCTTTGTTGGAGTCTCTCTCTCTCTCTCTCTCTCTCTCTCTCTCTCTCTCTCTCTCATCCATTTTCTGCTGTAACTGCTGTGTATTGGAGTTTGCTATATTACCACATGTATGTATTTTGTTCCTAGTGCAGGGGTCTGCAACCTTAAACACTCAAGAGCCATTTGGACCCGTTTCCCAGAGAAAAGAAAACACTGGAAGCCACAAAACTTGTGTGTGCGCGCATGCGCATGTGCATGCACACACGCATACAAGGGGGGGAGCTTGATTGAAGAGTATTAAAAAGAAATAGAGGCTGCTGTGCATGGGTTCTCTCTCTCTCTCCTCTCCCCCCCTCTCTCTTTCTATCTTTCTTCTCCCTCTCTCTCTCTCTTTCTCTCACTTTTTCTCTCTTTCCTCTCTCTCTTTCTCTCTCTCTCTCTTTCCTCTCCCTCTCTCTTTCTCTCTCTCTCTTTCCTCTCTCTTTCTCTCTTTTCTCTCTCTCTCCCTCTCTCTTTCTCTCTTGCTCTTTCCTCTTACCCCCCTCTCTCTTTCTCTTTCCTCTCTCTCTCTTTTTCCTCTCCTCCTCTCTCTTTCCTCTCCCCCTTCTCTCTCTTTTCTATCTCTCTCTCTTTCCTCTCCGCCTCTCTCTTTCCTCTCCCCCTTCTCTCTTTCTCTTTCCTCTCTCTTTCTCTCTCTCTCTGCCCCCCCCCTCTCCCTCTCTCTGATCTTCTGCTCACCTGGCAAGCTGGCTTCAGGCTCTTCTCCAACAAGCTGACACACATTATTGGGCTGGCTCTCTCCTGCCCTTCCTACTTCCTGTTTCCTGCAGAGAAGGAGCAAAGGGAGGAGCCTTGCCCAATAAGCTTGTCAGCTCATGGGAACAGCATGAGGCCACTCTCTTTTTTACACACACACAAACACACACACACGGGGATGGGGGAGCGCAAGTGCCTCTCTCTGTCTCTGTCTCTCTGCAAATGGCAGAGGAGGCTGGGAGCTGCAGAAGAAGGCTCAAAGAGTTACATACGGCTCCAGAGCCGCAGGTTGCCGACCCGTGTCCTAGTGTATATCGTAGATAGTAGGTAGTGTAATATAAAACCACCATTTAATATAGACCACTGTTTACTGTGTTTACTCTTGGGTTATCTCAGCGCAATAAGACTGTGCATGCTCTGACGCTGGGCCTTCTTCCCATTGCTTTTCCTAGTGAAACTGAGTCCACCAGCATTGAACGTGGTTGCACGCCAAAGCCGCTGCCTCCAGCTACAATGGAACCTGCCTGGGGATGAGCTGATATCACCCACGGAGGCCCAGTATCAGATCCAGTACTGTGACTTAGTAGAGTTGTCTTGCCTGCAGGTAAGTGCCAAACTGCTTCAGTTGTGGTCATAAGTCAAGGAATGCAGTCCAGTGGGTTGCAGGCATTCCCCGACTTACGACCACAATTGAGCCCCAAATTTCCATGGCTAAGTGAGTTAAGTGAGTTTTGCCCCATTTTACGACCTTTCGTGCTGCAGTTGTTAAGCGAGTCACTGCAGTTGTTAAGTTAGTAGCTCAGTTGTTAAGTGAATCCGGCTTACCCCCCCCCCATTGATTTTGCTTGTCAGAAGGTCACAAAAGGGGATCGCGTGACCACCCCTCCCTCGAAAGCTGCGACCATCATAAATACATGCCAGGTGGCCAAGAGTCTGAATTTTGATCACCTGGCTATGCTGCAACGGTCATCAGTGTGAAAAATGGTCATAAGTCCCTTTTTTTCCAGCGCCATTCTTATTTCAAATGGTCACTAAATGAATGGTTGTGAAGTCAAAGGCTACCTGCATTTAGAGCAGTGGTTCTCAACCTGTGGGTCGGGACCCCATTTGGGGTCGAATGACCATTTCACGGGGGTCGCCAAACAATGCAGTCCGCCATTTTTCCCCCCTTTTCCTTAGCTGTGCTATTCCCTTTTATTCTATTGGCTTTTGAAAGCCAATAGAATAGACTCTCTTGAATAGAGTCTAATTCTATTGGCTTTCAAAAGCCAATAGGAATTGTCTAGGCTGTCTCTGCCCTGCTGAGCCTACCAAAAGTCCCATTCTGCAAACAGTGCTGCAAGTTGTCTGCAGCGAAGGCGAGCTGTCTGGAAGTTTCCACCCCTCCCTGCTGAGCAACTACTAAAAATGTGAGTAAAAGAGGGCCAGGGGTGGAAGGTGGGAGGCCAGCGGGCACAGGGAGGGTTGCTGGCGTGCATGGGGCCCAGCAGGTGCCTTACCTCCCTTGGGCTGAGCCAGTTGATAACCCAGCCGGTGGTTGGCCTGCGCCATCTCTGCCGCTTGCCAGCTACGCCTTGGCCGACGCAGGGGGCGGCACCACGCATGCGCGGTGCTCCCAGGCAGGGAAAGTCCTCAACTTACGACCGGTTGGGTAGTCCTCAAATCGGTTGGGGTCGCGGCATTAAAAAGGTTGAGAACCACTGATTTAGATCAATTTCCACTGCAAGGTCTCGCTTTAAATTCTAATGCAGGGGTCCCCAACCCGCCGGGCTGTGGCTCATTCAGAACCGGGTCGCACAAGCTTGACTCGCGCGAGTGGCGGGCCGGTATGCACGTGCACATACACGTGCAAATTGAGCGGTGTGCGTGCCTGCACGCCAGCCCACAACTAGCGTGGTGGGTTCCCCTCTCCTCCCTCCCCCCAGCTAGGCCACCAAGCTGCAAAGGTTGGGACCCATAGCTCTAATGAATATGAGGTCAAACATTTGAATACTGGAGATCACTGGAGATCTTTAAGAAAAGACTAGACAATCACCTGCCGAGATGGTGTAGGTTGTCATGCTTGAGCAGGGGGCTGGACTAGATGACCTCCATGGTCCCTTCCAGCTCCTATTTTATTCTATTCCATTCCATTCCGTTCCATTCTATTCTACTGTACTCTAGTCTACTCTATTCTATTCTATTCTATTCTATTCTATTCTATTCTATTCTATTCTATTCTATTCTACTCTACTCTACTCTACTCTACTCTACTCTACTCTATTCTGTAATTCTATTCCATTCCATTCCATTCCATTCCATTCCATTCCATTCCATTCCATTCCATTCCATTCTATTCTATTCTATTCTATTCTATTCTATTCTATTCTATTCTATTCTATTCTATTCTACTCTACTCTTCTCTACTCTATTCTATTATATTCTGTAATTCTATTCTATTCTATTCTATTCTATTCTATTCTTTAACCTTCCTATTATTTACACAGGTAAACTTTACAGCAGTAGAGAATGGACCAATTTCTGCAAACATCTGTGGGCTGTTCCCCTTTACCAACTACTCTGTCCAAGTACGGGCAAAATATCTGCACACTTCTGCTATCCAAAGTGATGGAGATCCCTTTTGGAGCGACTGGAGTTTGGAGAAAGTTGCAAGGACCCTTCCAGCAGGTATGGGAATTCAGTTATTTTTAGCTGACGTAATGGTGTTCCCCCATCGCTGCCTTGCAAGAGAATAGAATAGAGTCTAATTCTCTTGGCTTTCAAAAGCCAATAGGAATTGTCCAGGCTGTCTCTGCCCTGCTGAGCCTGCCAAAAGTCCCATTCTGCAAACGGTGCTGCACCAGTTGAGTAGTCCTCGACTTACGACTGGTTGAGTAGTCCTTGACTTATGACCGGTTGGGGGTCACAGCATTAAAAAGGTTGAGAACCACTGGCTTAAGGCATCCGAGTAACAGAATATCCGACTTGGAAGGGCCCTTGGAGGTCTCCTAGTCCAGCCCCCTGCTCAAGCAGGAAACCCTATAGTACCATTTCAGACAAACGGCTGTCTAATCTTTTCTTCAAAACCTCCCACGATGGAGCACCCACAGCTTCTGGTGGCAACCCATTCCACTGATTAATTGTTCTCTGAAGTCCTCCCTACTTGAAATGCTGAATGGATAGTTCTCGCCCATTCCAACGATTTGATTGATAGCTTCGAGAAGCTCTTAGTTTTTCCTAGAACGTTGCACACAGCGGCGGCCGCAGCCATCCAAAATGACCCAATCTTCATGCACAGTCATGTTTATAAATGTGGGCAAGGAAATCAGCACCTTGGAGAGCTCCCCTGGAGCCGTTGCTTTCATTAGGCAATACAATGAGATGTTGCCTCAGCCAGGAACTTCAAATAATCCTCGACTTACGACCACGATCAGGGACCAGATTTTTTTTCCATTGCTAAGCAAGGCAGTTCTTAAGGGAGTCCGCCCTGATTTTTATGACTTTTTGGCCAGCGTTGTTAAACAAATCGCTGCCATCGTTAAACTAATCGTGTGGCCGTTAAGGCAAAATCCAGCTGCCCTCATTGACTTGGCTTGTCGGAAACCAGCTGAGAAGATTACCAAAGATGATCACCTGACTCAGGACACTGTCAACCATCATCAATCATGCCAGTTGCCAAGTGCCCGAATTTGGACCACACGGATTGTAAGGATGACACAAGGCTTGTAAACACAAGCACCGGTTGTAAGTCACTTTTTTTTCCCCCATGCCTTTGTAACTGTGAAGAGTCACTAAATGTATGGTCGTAAGTGGAGGACTATTTGGAAGACCTTACGGAGACAGAGAAGATATGTTCTGCTCTAGGAACCCCCAGGGAAAAACCCTGGTTGTTTTCTTGCAAATCACCAGGCTTGATTGTATCAGAAGATGTGGACAGAGGTCCCCAACCCCTGGTCCGTGGACCAGTACTGGGCCGCGTCATGCCAGCAACCGGTCTGCACAAACAAGCAAAGTCCCATCCACGAGATGCAGGCAGCACACAAAACCACACCCTCTCCAGTCCACGGGAAAACCGGTCCCTGGGGACCTCTGGATGTGGACACAACTGTCTTATCCAGGGGTCTTCAAACTTGGTCCTTTTATGACTTGTGGACTTCAACTCCCAGAATTCCTCAGACAGTGTGCCTGCCTGAGGAATTCTGGGAGTTGAAGTCCACGAGTCATAAAAGGGCCAAGTTTGGAGACCCCTGCTCTACTTGGTATCTTTAGCAAAGCAACTCTCAGAATTCCCCAGCCAGCACAATGGACTGGGGGAAAGTAATCTTGTCATTAAATATAGCCACCGTCCTATGTTCTGGAGCAGGTCTCCCAACTTTAAGACTTGTGGACTTCGACTCCCAGAATTCCTCAGCCAGCCATGCGGAGGAGAATTCTGGGAGTTGAAGTCCACAAGTCATAAAAGGGCCAAGTTTGGAGACCCCTGCCCTACTTGGTATCTTTAGCAAATTAACTCCCAGAATTTCCCAGCCAACCATGCTGAGGAGAATTCTGGGAGTTGAAGTCCACAAGTCATAAAAGGGCCAAGTTTGAAGACCCCTGGTCTTATCTAAAATATTGTAAGAGGAGTGGCAGAACCAGTGGATGGGGTCAAAAGAAGAATCAGTCTAGAATCCCTAGGTAGCCATAAAGTTCAACCCCGCCCCCCATTGAATTCAATTCACTTTTATCTAGCACCAAAAGAACACCATTAGCTGAATAGATTCCTGTGCATGGCTAGTAATAAATCCATTTCACTTGGAACTTCAGGTGTGGTCCTGGGCTTTGTGTCTGACACATCCTTAGGGAATATACCCTGGGCTGGTCCAGGTTTTTCTCCATTCCCTACAAAAATGCCAAGTTGAGTTCATGATTGAAATGTTGACCAGCAGAACTTCTAGAAATGTCTCTCCTTCCAAAACTGTTCAATTGATTTGTTTCTTTCTCCTTTTTCTTCTTCTTCTACCTGGAATGGGGGCTGGTGTTGAAGCTCCTTCCCAAGGGCCAGCGTTCTGGAGAAAACTCGGAAGACCCACTGCTGACAAAGAAAGAGCGGTTGTCCTGATGTGGAAGGTAGGAGAAGACACCAAGCTGTAGGAGGAGTGGCAGATACTGGGGGCGGCGTTAAAAGAGGGATCAGCATAGAATCCCTATGTAGTCACAAGCGGACTGAGTCCAGCCCCCTGGAATTTCTGCTGACCCTCATCTAACTCCTGACAGATTCTAAAAACAGCAACTGTGAGAGGGACCTTGGAGTCCCAGTGGACGATCACTTGACCATGAGCCAGCAGTGTGCAGCAGTGGCCAAAAAAGCCAATCCAATCCTGGGTTGTATAAAGAGAGGCACAGAATCAAGATCACGCGAAGTATTAGTACCGCTTTACATACCCCTTGGCTCTTTTATGACTGGTGGCATAAAAGGCAACCTTGGCTCTTTTATGACTGGTGGACTTCAACTCCCAGAATTCCTGAGCCAGGCATGCTGAGGGGAAAGGGAGAGGTTTCCAAGCTGAGCCATGCTGGCTCAGGAATTCTGGGAGTTGAAGTCCATGAGTCATAAAGCGGTCTAGGCCTAGCCCAGGGGCAAGCAACCTTGGCTCTTTTATGACTCATGAACTTCAACTCCCAGAATTCCTGAGCCAGCATGGCTCAGCTTGGAAACCTCTCCCTTTCCCCTCAGCATGGCTGGCTCAGGAATTCTGGGAGTTGAAGTCCACCAGTCATAAAAGAGCCAAGGTTGCCTACCCCTGCCCTAGTAAGGCCACACCTGGAATACAGCAGCCAATTTTGGTCACCATATCATAAAAAAGATGTTGGGAGTTTGAAAAAAATTCAGAGAAGAGCAACTAAGATGATCCAAGGCCTGGAGACTTAAACATACAAAGAACGGTGGTAGGACTTGGGTTTGGCTAGTCTAAAGAAAAGAAGAAATAGGGGAGACATGATAGCAGTATCTGAGGGGCTGCCACAAGGCAGAGGGAGTCAGGTTGTTCACCAGAGCACCAGAGGGAAGGATGAGAAACAATGGTTGGAAACTGACCAACGAGAGAAGCAACCTGGAATTAAGGAGAAACTCCCTGACAGTGAGGACAATTAACCAGTGGAACAGCTTGCCTCCAGACCTGTACAATAGAATAAAATGTTACAAATTAAAATTGCCCAATTGACCAAGATTATTTATTTGCTTTTCTGCTGCCATCTCCTTCATCACCTGTGAATCCACTAGATTAGTGGTAGGGAACAATAGTCCTTTTATGACATGTGGACTTCAATTCCCAGAATTCCCCAGCCAGCATGGCTGGCTGAGGAATTCTGGGAGCTGAAGTCCACACGTCATAAAGAGGCTATTGTTCCCCACTCCTGCAGTAGATCTTACTGCTATTGTTCTAAGCTGCTCTTTGCCCATTGCTTCAGTCCCAGTCAAGCCTATTTTGACAACATTCATTGTTTGCTGATCTTGGTCCAAAAAATATCTTTCACGGCATTATCTTCCAAACCAAGAGTGCGTGATCTGCATCATATTATCTCAATCTGGAAGAAGCCAAGCAGAATCTTACTTATTCTCTTTGACTATGTTGGGCCCTTGCTGCTTCTTCGAATTCTCTATCCCTCGGTGGATAAATATGTGTGTAATTATATTTGTGGTGCTGAACGTGTTTTTTTTGTGACTTGCGCTGTGACATCTCTTTTAAGGCTTGTTTGTTTTTTTTATATAACAATTTCCGATTGGTATAGGCAGACCTCAACATACAACGTTCGTTTAGCCACCGAAAATTACAACCGCACTGAAAAAAAAGGGAGTTATGCCTGATCTTCACTTACGACTGTCACAGTAGGGTTAATCGTGATCAAAATTTGGGCGCTTGGCAACTGTATATTTTACAATAGTTGCAGCAATTCCAGTGTCACGTGATCACCATTTGTGACTTTCCCAGCCAGCTTCCGACTAGCTTAGTCAATGGGGGGAAGCTGAATTCACTTTAATGACTATACCAAGGGTCTTCAAACTTGGCAACTTTAAAACTTGTGGACTTAAACTCCCAACTAATTCTGGGAGATAGTAGTAGTAGTAGTAGTAGTAGTAGTAGTAGTAGTAGTAGTAGTAATAATAATAATAATAATAATAATAATAATAATAATAATAATGGAAGGGACCTTGGAGGTCATCTAGTCCAACCCTCTGCTCAGGCAGGAAACCCTATACTGGGGTAGGCAACCTTGGCTCTTTTATGACTCGTGGACTTCAACTCCCAGAATTCCTGAGCCAGCCACGCTGAGGGGAAAAGGAGAGGTTTCCAAGTTGAGCCATGCTAGCTCAGGAATTCTGGGAGTTGAAGTCCACCAGTCATGAAGGGGCCAAAGTTTCCCTCACACTGGCTCAGGAATTCTGGGAGTTGAAGTCCATGAGTCATAAAAGAGCCAAGGTTGTCTACCCCTGGTTTAGCCTGAGGGGCCCAAGGTTAGGGACAGTTACTGGCTTAGGTGGATCTTCTCCTGTGCTCTCAGATGATCTGGAATGGCACGCCCACTTTCAAAACCGTAAAATATAGAATATAGAACATAGTATAATAGGGTTCCCCCTTATGGATTACTGCCTTGTCGTGGCGAAGGGGCTTGTGTAACTCAATGAAGCTATAAGCTATGCCATGCAGGGCCACCCAAGACAGACAGGTCATAGCAGAGAGTTCTGACAAAATGTGATCCACTGGAGAAGGAAATGGCAAACCACTCCAGTATCTTTGCCATGAAAACCCCATGGACAGTACTAAAAGGCAAAAAGATATGACGCTGGAAGATGAGCCCCTCAGGTCGGAAGGTGTCCAATATGCTACTGGGGAAGAGCAGAGGGCTAGTACTAATAGCGCCAGAAAGAATGAAGCGACTGGGCCAAAGCCGAAAGGATGCTCAGCTGTGGATATATCTGGTGGTGAAAGGAAAGTCCGATGCTGTAAAGATTTTTTCTCCATAGGAACCTGGAATGTAAGATCCATGAATCAAGGCAAGCTAGACGTAGTCAAAAAAGAGATGACAAGACTGAACATCGACATCTTAGGAATCAGCGAACTAAAATGGACAGGAATGGGTGAATTTAACTCAGATGACCATCAGGTATACTACTGTGGGCAAGAATCCCTCAGAAGAAATGGAGTAGCCTTCATAGTCAATAAAAGAATAGGAAAAGCAATACTGGGATACAATCCCCAAAATGACAGAATGATCTCAATTCGAATCCAAGGCAAACCATTCAATATCACAATAGTCCAAATCTATGCCCCAACCACTGGTGCTGAAGAGGATGAAATTGACCGGTTCTATGAAGCCCTACAGCACCTTATAGAATTAACACCAAAAAAATGATGTCCTTATCATCATGGGGGATTGGAATGCTAAGGTAGGAAGCCAAAAGATAACCGGAATAACAGGCAAGTTTGGCCTTGGAGTACAAAATAAAGCAGGGCACAGGCTGATAGAATTTTGTCAAGAGAATACGATGGTCATAACAAACACTCTTTTCCAACAACCCAAGAGACGGCTCTACACATGGACATCACTAGACGGCCAACATAGAAATCAGATTGACTATGTGCTCTGCAGCCAAAGATGGAGAAGCTCTATACAGTCAGTAAAAACAAGACCAGGAGCTGACTGTGGCTCAGATCATGAGCTTCTCGTTGCAAAATTTAGGCTTAAATTAAAAAAAGTAGGGAAAAGCACTAGGCCACTCAGGTATGAACTAAATCATATTCCTAATGAATATACAGTAGAGGTGACAAATAGATTTAAGGAATTAGATCTGATAGACAGAGTGCCTGAAGAACTATGGATGGAAGTTCGCAACATTGTACAAGAGGTAGCAACTAAAACCATCCCAAAGAAAAAGAAATGCAAGAAAGCAAAATGGCTGTCTGAGGAAGCTTTGCAAATAGCTGAGGAAAGAAGGGAAGCGAAAGGCAAAGGAGAAAGAGAAAGATACACCCAATTGAATGCAGAATTCCAGAGAGTAGCTAGAAGAGATAAGAATGCCTTCTTAAATGAACAGTGCAAAGAAATAGAAGAAAACAACAGAATAGGGAGGACCAGAGATCTCTTCAAGAAAATTGGAGATATGAAGGGAACGTTTCATGCAAAGATGGGCATGATAAAGGACCAAAATGGCAGGGACCTAACAGAGGCAGAAGAGATTAAGAAGAGATGGCAAAACTACACAGAAGAACTATACAAGAATGAGCTTAACATCCCAGATAACCACAATGAGATGGTCACTGACCTCGAACCAGACATCCTAGAATGTGAAATGAAATGGGCCTTAGAAAATCTGAGCAACAACAAAGCTAGTGGAGGTGACAGTATTCCAGCTGAGCTATTCAAAATCTTAAAAGACGATGCAGTAAAAGTGCTACACTCAATTTGCCAGCAAATTTGGAAAACTCAACAGTGGCCACAGGATTGGAAAAGGTCAGTTTACATTCCAATTCCAAAGAAAGGCAATGCCAAAGAATGTTCAAACTATCGCACCATTGCACTCATTTCACATGCTAGTAAAGTTATGCTTAAAATCCTACAAGCTAGACTCCAGCAGTATGTGGATCGAGAACTACCAGAAGTACAGGCAGGATTTCGAAGAGGCAGAGGAACTAGAGATCAAATTGCCAACATACGCTGGATCATGGAGAAAGCTAGGGAGTTCCAGAAAAACATCTACTTCTGCTTCATTGACTATGCTAAAGCCTTTGATTGTGTGGATCACAACAAATTGTGGCAAGTTCTTAAAGAGATGGGCATACCAGACCATCTTATTTGTCTCTTGAGAAACCTATATGCGGGTCAAGAAGCAATCGTGAGAACTGGACACGGAACCACTGATTGGTTCAAAATTGGAAAAGAAGTCCGGCAAGGCTGTATATTGTCGCTCTGCCTATTTAACTTATATGCAGAGCACATCATGAGAAAGGCAGGGCTAGATGAAACAAAAGTTGGAATTAAGATTGCCGGGAGAAATATCAACAACCTAAGATATGCAGATGATACCACGCTAATGGCAGAAAGTGAAAAGGAACTAAAGAGCCTCTTGATGCGGGTGAAGAAGGAGAGTGCAAAAGTTGGCTTGAAACTTAACATTAAGAAAACCAAAATCATGGCATCCGGCCCTCTTAATTCCTGGCCAATAGATGGGGAAGAAATGGAGGTAGTGACAGATTTTATTTTTCTGGGCTCCAAGATCACCTCAGATGGGGACTGCAGCCAAGAAATTAAAAGACGCTTGCTCCTGGGGAGGAAAGCTATGGCAAATCTAGACAGCATACTAAAAAGCAGAGACATCACCCTGCCAACAAAAGTGCGTATAGTCCAGGCCATGGTTTTCCCAGTTGCAATGTATGGCTGTGAAAGTTGGACCATAAGAAAGGCTGAGCGCAAAAGAATTGAGGCCTTTGAACTATGGTGCTGGAGAAGACTCCTGCGAGTCCCTTGGACTGCAAGGCGTTCAAACCGGTCAGTCCTAGAAGAGATCAACCCCGACTGCTCTTTAGAAGGCCAGATCTTGAAGTTGAAACTCAAATACTTTGGCCTCCTAATGAGAAGGAAGGACTCACTGGAGAAGGACCTAATGCTGGGAAAGATTGAGGGCAATAGAAGGGGACGACAGAGAATGAGATGGCTGGATGGAGTCACTGAAGCAGTAGGTGTGAACTTAAATGGACTCCAGAAGATGGTAGAGGACAGGAAGACCTGGAGGAACATTGTCCATGGGGTCGCGATGGGTCGGACATGACTTCGCAATTAACAACAACAACAACATAATAGGGTTGGAAGGGAGGTTTCCAAGCTGAGCCATGCTGGCTCAGGAATTCTGGGAGTTGAAGTCCACGAGTCATAAAAGAGCCAAGATTGCCACCCCCTGCCCTATACCATTTCAGATAAATGGTTGTCCAGTCTCTTCTTAAAAGATTCCGGTGATGGAACATTCACAATGTCTGGAGGCAGGTCGTTCCACTGATTAATTGTTCTCACTGTCAGGAAGTTTCTCCTTAGTTCTAGGTTGCCTCTCTCCTTGATTAGTTTCCATCTGTTGTTTCTTGTCCTGCCTTCAGGCGCTTTGGAGAATAGCTTGACTCCCTACCTCCCTGAGATATTGGAAGACTGCTATCATGTCCCCCCTCGTTCCTCTCTTTATTAAACTAGACATACTTCATTAAACTAGATGTCATGGTTCCGACTAATGAAACACTTCAAAGAACTTCCAGGCATGTCTATCCCAAAGCCTTTATTACCAGTGTTACAAATTGACGGCACATCATGGAGGTTTATGCCAGACTCTGAATTCCTCTTGTTGGCATCTAACTTTTCTTGCTAAACCCCTCCCTTATCTTGCAGTCACAAGTCACATCTTCCAATTAACCCAGAGGGCAGAGATTCACTTCCTGTTCCTTTTCCCGGGCTTTTGTTATTTCCCCTCCCTTTTCTCTGTCATCTGAACTAACTCTAAAAATACCAAACAGTTCTGCATATTTTGTCAAAGCAAGAATATTCAATATTAGCAGCGTTGACACCGGTACTAGAATAAATTCAAACTAGTAAGTCATGTTTCCATGGAGACAAATCTAACTCTGTGATTGCTAAGAGTCAAGACCAAGTTGATGGCACATAATCAATCAACAAGATTGGTTTTAAGAGTAGGGCAGGAAGACTGGATTCTGAAAATATCTTTAAATAAAGACTAAATGGACCTCCGTTGAGGACGCTCTAAGGATGAATTCCTGCCCTGGGAAGGGCTGGGATCAGATGATCCCTTTCCAATCTTCCATTCTAGAGAGAGTTCTGTCATCTGAATTTAACTCTAAAAATACCAGACAGTTCTGCATATTTTGTCAAAGCAAGAATATTCAATATCAACAGCGTTGACACTAGACATATAAACCTCAATGCAACTGAAATATATACTGTAAAATATGCAAACATATATTTTTTTTTCTTGCATGGGTTTCCTTAGTTCCCCTTTGGGGTAGTATACGAGCTTTTCCCTTTTTCATTCCTTATCTTAGTCTTCTTCTCTCCTGAAAGCTGATCACAGGCCTCGTCTTTTCATTTATCCTGCTAGCCCTTGAAGCCCAAGGAAGCCAACGGTGAGATTTTGGGGTACAGTCTCTACTCTCAGAGAAAAGGGGAGCCCCTGGTACCCAAATGCATCACTCACCACCTCCAGTGTCGTCTGCTCCTCCCAGCCAGCGAAGAATTCGCCTTCTATCTCACCGCCAAAAATACGGTCGGCATCTCCCCTGCAACCAAGCTGGTGATCCCCCCATTCCCTAACTTGGAAGGTGAGATTTTCAGGTGTTGTTATCAAAAAAAAATTGTTTAAATGTTTTTTGCGGGTAGCAAAAAAATTGGAAAAGATGCTTCCGCAGAGGTATATTTGGGGAGGAAGGGCAATTGCGTTTGGTCCCTCTTTCTCCGTCCTTGATCAACGGGAGAACCAGAAGGCAACATTGTTGTTGTTGTTGTTGTTAATTGCGAAGTCGTGTCCGACCCATCGCGACCCCCTGGACAACGTTCCTCCAGCTCTTCCTGTCCTCTACCATCTTCTGGAGTCCATTTAAGTTCACACCTACTGCTTCAGTGACTCCATCCAGCCATCTCATTCTCTGTCGTCTCCTTCTTCTATTGCCCTCAATCTTTCCCAGCATTAGGCCCTTCTCCAGTGAGTCCTTCCTTCTTGTTAGGTGACCAAAGTATTTGAGTTTCCACTTCAGGATCTGGCCTTCTAAAGAGCAGTCAGGGTTGATCTCCTCTAGGACTGACCGGTTTGAACGCCTTGCAGTCCAGGGGACTCAGAGGAGTCTTCTCCAGCACCATAGTTCAAAGGCCTCCATTCTTTGGCATTCAGCCTTTCTTATGGTCCAACTGTCACAGCCATACATTGCAACTGGGGAAACCATGGCCTGGACTATACGCACTTTTGTTGGCAGGGTGATGTCTCTGCTTTTTAGTATGCTGTCTAGATTTGCCATAGCTTTCCCCAGGAGTAAACATCTTTTAATTTCTTGCCTGAAGTCCCCATCTGCGGTGATCTTGGAGCCCAGGAAAATAAAATCTGTCACTACCTCCATTTCTTCCCCATGTATTTGCCAGGAATTGAGGGAGCCGGATGCCATGATCTTGGCTTTCTTAATGTTAAGTTTCAAGCCAACTTTTGCACTCTCCTTCTTCACCCGCATCAAGAGGCTCTAAGGCAACATTAAAACGATACAAAAAATCAATGTTTCTCAACCTTGGGCACTTTAAGACGCATGGACTTCAACTCCCAGAATTCCCCAGCCAGCAACGCTTCTGGGGAGTTCTGGGAGTTGAAGTCCACTCGTCTTAAAGTTGATAAGGTTGAGAAACACTATATCAATGATGGCGAACCTGTGGCACGCGTGCCAGAGGCGGCACTCGGAGCCCTCTCTGTGGGCACAATCACTGTTGCCCCAGCCCCGCCTCCTCCCACGGCCTCCTCCTCACCAGTAGTCCCCTCGGAGGAGAGTCGCCCCCGGGCGCAGCCCACGCGAAGCAGCCCAGCCAAGGACATGGTAGCCGGACAGCGGGGACAAGATTCCACCCTTGGATGCTGCGGGGCACAGGCGGAGGGCATGGTCGCCATCGCACTGCTGTGATCTGTGGCGGGCCGTGGAGGTGGTGGGTGGCCCAGTGGGCAGGGTGGAGCGGGGATGGGGGTGGGGGGTGGGTTTGGGGCACTCGGTCTCTAAAAGGTTCGCCATCACTGCACTATATTCTATTATTGCTTCCTCTTTTTTTTTAATCTCTAGCCCCACCTTCTCTATCCATCCTGGCGTCTTCGGCAGGAGACCACTCCCTCCACTTGCAGTGGTCTCTTCCCAGCACCCCAAAGATGGACTTTGTTCTGGAGTGGAACAAGCTGCCCGAGAAGGAAGGGGGAGACCCACACTGGCAGTATCAGCCAGAGAATGTCAACCATGCAACCATTACTGGTGAGTGTAGCTGATAGGGATGGGGATGGAGAGAACAGAGGCAGAAAGAGAGAGGGGGGGAAAGTGGTTAAAGCAACCAGTGACACATAGAGAAAGGTGGGAGGGAAGGAGAAAGAGATGGAAAAAGGAAGGAAGGAGAAAAGGGGGAAATAGGGAAAGAAGGGAGAAGGAAGAAGAGGAAAGGAAAGAGATAGGAGAAACGGGTTAGGAAGACATGGAGGAAGGAAGGAAGGAAGGAAGGAAGGAAGGAAGGAAGGAAGGAAGGAAGGAAGGAAGGAGAAAAAGAGGAAATAGGGAAAGAAGGGAGAAGGAAGAAGAGGAAAGGAAAGAGATAGGAGAAAGGGGTTAGGAAGACATGGAGGAAGGAAGGAAGGAAGGAAGGAAGGAAGGAAGGAAGGAAGGAAGGAAGGAAGGAGAAAAAGGAAATAGGGAAAGAAGGGAGAAGGAAGAAGAGGAAAGGAAAGAGATAGGAGAAACGGGTTAGGAAGACATGGAGGAAGGAAGGAAGGAAGGAAGGAAGGAAGGAAGGAAGGAAGGAAGGAGAAAAAGAGGAAATAGGGAAAGAAGGGAGAAGGAAGAAGAGGAAAGGAAAGAGATAGGAGAAACGGGTTAGGAAGACATGGAGGAAGGAAGGAAGGAAGGAAGGAAGGAAGGAAGGAAGGAAGGAAGGAGAAAAAGAGGAAATAGGGAAAGAAGGGAGAAGGAAGAAGAGGAAAGGAAAGAGATAGGAGAAACGGGTTAGGAAGACATGGAGGAAAGGAAGGAAGGAAGGAAGGAAGGAAGGAAGGAAGGAAGGAAGGAGAAAAAGGAAATAGGGAAAGACGGGAGAAGGAAGAAGAGGAAAAGAAAGAGATAGGGAAAGAGGGGTAGGAAGACATGGAAGAAGGAAGGGAGGGAGGAAGGAAGGAAGGAGAGAAGGGAAATAGGGAAGGCAGAAGGGAGGTGGAAGAAGAGGAAAAGAAAGGAAAGGGATAGGGAAAAGGGGATAGGAAGACATGGAAGAAGGGAGGGAGGGAGGAAGGGAGAGGGAGGAAGGAAGGAAGGAAGGAAGGAAGAGAAGAAAGAAAGGAAGAAATGAGTGAAGTGAGAATAAGAGAAAAAAGGAAGGTCAGAGAGAAAAGGGGAAGACAGAAGGGATCACAAGGAAGAGGGAGTCAACTTATTCTCCAAAGCACCAGAAGGCAGGAGGAGAAGCAATGGATCGAGGAGAGAAGCAACTTAGAACTAAGGAGAAATTTCCTCATGCCGAGAACAATTAACCAGCGGAACGACTTGCCTGCAGAAGCTGTGAATGCTCCAACACTGGGGATTTTAAAGAAAAGACTGGACAACCATTTTTGTCTGAAAGGGTATAGGGTTTCCTGCTTGAGCAGGGGGTTGGACTAGATGACCTCCAAGGTCCCTTCCAACTCTTGTTGTTCTGTATTCTGTACAGAGAAAAAAAGAGGGTGGAAAAGAATAAGAGAACAGAGAGAAAGAGAGAGAGAAGGGTGGTCTAGAGACTCTAGAAAGAACGAGTAAGGAGCGATCCCACAGGGTTTTGGCTCTGCCAACTGTTGGCAAGGGCCCTCTGGTGAGGAAACGCAGCTGCGTGGACGTCTTTGCTGCAACAGCTTGCACAGAGCCGTTCCTAAGGTCATGGTGACCCTCTCCTTAAGAGGAAATATGAATGCACATCCAGGCAGCTGCCTTGCCCGCTTTGCAAGACTGAAGTAAACCCCACCCATGAACCTCCAAAAACAACAACCCTTTGGATTTTGCCTCAAGGCTTTCCAATGCGGCCAGGAAATTACTATTGATCATCCACGTCGCACCTAATCAGCCCTCTGCATGAGACGCTCGTCTGAATCGCGCCCACTAGGCCACCCTCCGGGGTGAAAATCAGTCTTGCCGGAACAGAGGGGCTCAATCGAAGGGACGTTTCCTGGAGACGCCGGACAGGAACTTCACAATGAGCTGCCCGATCCAATTGGTGACAGAAAAACCAAGCTGCAGGATACAGGGGACTGGAGGCTAAAAGAACGGTTGCTGGAATTGGGGATGTCTAGTTTAATGAAGAGAAGGACAAGGGGGGACATGATAGCAGTGTTCCAGTATCTCAGGGGCTGCCCCAAAGAAGAGGGAGTCAAGCTATTCTCCAAAGCGCCTGAAGGCAGGACAAGAAGCAATGGATGGAAACTAATCAAGGAGAGAAGCAACCTAGAACTAAGGAGAAACTTCCTGACAGTGAGAACAATTAACCAGTGGAACAACCTGCCTCCAGAAGCGGTGAATGCTCCAACACTGGAAGTTTTTAAGAAGAGACTGGACAGCCATTTGTCTGAAATGGTACAGGGTCTCCTGCTCCAGCAGGGGGTTGGACTTGATGACCTCCAAGGTCCCTTCCAACTCTATTATTCTATTCTATTCTATTCTATTCTATTCTATTCTATTCTATTCTATTCTATTCTATTCTATTCTTCCATTCCTTATTCTATTCCCATTCCTTATTCTATTCTATTCTATTCTATTCTATTCTATTCTATTCTATTCTATTCTATTCTTCCATTCCTTATTCTATTCCCATTCTTTATTCTATTCTATTCTATTCTATTCTATTCTATTCTATTCTATTCTATTCTATTCCATATTCTATTCTATTCTATTCTTCCATTCCTTATTCTATTTCCATTCTTTATTCTATTCTATTCTATTCTATTCTATTCTATTCTATTCTATTCTATTCTATTTCTATTTCTATTTCTATTCTATTCTATTCTTCCATTCCTTATTCTGTTCTGTTCTATTCTGTTCTGTTCTGTTCTGTTCTATATGCTTCTGTAACCTCTTGCTTCCTCCTTCCCCTATAGAGGCCATCAAGCCCGGGAATCTTTATGCCGTGAAGATCTTTGGACTCGTAAATGGAAGTCTCCGGGCCTTTGGTTCTTCTCAGGCTTACTCCAAGCAAGTTGGTAAGTGGAAACAGTGACTTTCTTGGGTTGATATTCATAGACCTGGGGGTTGGTTATTATTTAGTAAGAAAGTGCACCACCCAAGCACAAAAAAGGCGGTGTCAGTAAGCTTGGGGTAACCTCAAATTATGGAGATGACCATGTTGAAGTACCCTTTGTTTGCTATCATAGTGGGAGGCAGGGATCTCCAAACTTAGCAACTTTAAGGCTTGTGAATTTCAACTCCCAGAATTCCCCAGCCAGCATGGAATATGCTATGGGTATTTATTTTGGATTAGAGTTTTAAAATGTTTTTAGTGTTTTCATTATGTCGGCTGGCTGAGGAATTGGCTGGCTGAGGAATTCTGGGAGTTGAAGTCCACAAGTCTAAAAGTTGCCAAGTTTGGAGAACACCCACCCCACCCCCTGTTCTAAATGGATGTGAGAATGACTTTGGGAGAATAGAGGAAAAGATGCCACTGTAGGGAACGATCAGATAAAAGGTGAAGGTGCCGGCAAATGTGTAACACCCAGAGAAAGAAAGATAGAAAAGATCCATCCTCAGACGATAAAAAGAGACGGTGGGAGATTTGTACTTTCAGAACTGTAAGATTGATCTCAGACTCCTAAGTAGATGGGGCAGGAAATAAGACAAAATAACATGCTTTATTATAAAGCTGCATTGACAGCATGTTCTCATTCATTCATTCATTCAATTTCTATAACTGCCCACTCAATCAATCACTCTGGGCAGCTTGCTATTCAAAAAAATGTATTACAGTGACATGATAAATGCATTTTAAAATAAGAAAAACCAATCCAAAATAAATACAGATAACAGCCAAGGTACTTGGCCAGCTAGCAACAAAAAACAGGACATGGGGCCCTTGACACTTTCAGCACCCCAGACTCAGGAACAGCGCCAGGTTCTGAAGGGAGGATGTTCCATAGGGCAGAAAAAAAGGATTGCAACAAATCTGAAAGGGCAAATATCCTGCCCTCTCTCTTAACCACCTGATTAGTTAGGGAGGATTTGTTTGTCCGTCCATCTGTCCATCCATCCACCTATTTGTCTGTCTGTCTGATCTGTCTTTCTGTCTGTCAGTCTCTCTCTCTCTCTCTCTCTCTCTCTCATCATCATCATCATCATCTATCTATCCATCTATCTGTCTCATGTATCTATCATCTTTCTATCTATCTGTCTGTCTATCTACCTATCAATCTATCATCTGTCATCTATCTATCAATCTATCATTTATCTATGTCATGTCTCTATAATGTCTTTATCTATCATCTATCATCTGATCTCAGTCTATCTATCTATCTATCTATCTATCTATCTATTTATCATCTATCTATTCATCTCTCTGTCTCATGTATCTATCATCTATTTATATTTCTTTCTATTTATCTATCTATCTATCCATCCATCCACCCACCCATTCTATCTATCCATCCATCATCTATCTGTCTGTCTGTCTGTCTGTCTCATTTAAGAACCGTGTGTCTCCCTCACAGAGGGACTCTGGGTGGGGTGCAATACAATATTAAAAGCATAAAAACAGCATTTTAACATTTAAAAGAGGCAAGGGATATTAAAAATTAATTAAACGGAGGAGGAGGAGGAGGAAGAGCTTTTAATGGTGCTAACCAGCCCCCACAGCTGTGTGCTCTTCTGCACCCCCCCAAGCCAGGCCGCAGAGCCACGTGTTTTACACCCTTAGGGAAGGCCAAGATAGTGAAACTCACCTGACCCCGGGGGAGAAAGGTGTTCCTCAGGGCAGAGGCAGAGAACCTTCTTGACCTGGACCCCACCAACTGGAACCCTTTAGCTGATGAGGGGCACAACATACTTCTCCTACCTGATCAGGTGGGGGTTGGGTGATATCACATGATGAAGACAGTTCCATAGGTAGCCTGGCCCTATGCCTGTGGTGGCGAACCTATGGCACGTGTGCCACAAGTGACATGCAGAGCCCTCCCTGTGGGCACGTGCGCCCTCGCACCAGTCCTAAGCCTTCAGCTGGGATTTATAAAACCTTTGCGCTTTAGGCCTCCGTCGCCATATGCAAAAAAAAAGGTTCAATCAGTCAATTTCAACTTCTCACGGAAAAAAAAAAGATCTTGCAAAGTTGGAATTGATTGATTGAACTTTTTAGTCCCACCCAGTCTGCCCTTAGCACCGCAGCCACGCCCACCCAATGGGCCATGCCCCCCAGCACCTGACGATACATAAGTGAGTTTTGGGTTGCAGTTTGGGCACTTGGTCTCTAAAAGGTTCGCCATCAATGCCCTATGCCATGTAGGATGCTTTCTAAGATTTTTTCCTCTGCCCAGAAATCCTGTCAAACTAAAGCAAATTACTTGGATATACTCTGAGGTCTTTTAAGGGGGATCCGCCTTAACTCTGCTCCTCCCAACCATGCTGCCTGAACTTTGCTAGTTTAAACTACCCTAAGGAAGAGAAGAACGGGGGATGACATGATAGCGGTCTTCTGATATTTAAGGGGCTGCCACAAAGAAGAAGGGAATCAAGCTATTCTCCAATACGCCCGAAGGCAGGACAAGAAGCAACGGATGGAAACTAATCAAGGAGAGAAGCATCCTAGAATTAAGGAGTAATTTCCTGACAGAACAATTAATCAGTGGAACAGCCTGCTTCCAGAAGTTGTGGGTGTTCCAACATTGGAGGTTTTCAAAAAGAAATTGTCCTGGAATGGTATAGGGCAGGGGTAGGCAACCTCGGCTCTTTTATGACTCGTGGACCAACTCCCAGAATTCCTGAGCCAGCCTGGCTCAGCTTGGAAACCTCTCCCTTTCCCCTCAGCATGGCTGGCTGAGGAATTATGGGAGTTGAAGTCTACGAGTCATGAAAGGGCCAAGTTTGAAGAGCTCTGATCTTGGTGGTTGGTCTCTAAGAGCCATAACTGACTTGATGGGCCACAGTCATCAATATTGGAAAGTAAATACCGTAAATAAAATGTAAAGGAGATAAATATCACCGTGTGACATGGGGCTGAGCCACCTGAAGGCAGGAGAAGAAGCAAAGGGTGGAAACTAATCAAGGAGAGAAGCAACCTGGAACTAATTTCCTGACCGAACAATAATCTAGGTCAGGGGTAGGCAACCTTGGCCCTTTTATGACTAATGGACTTCAACTCCCAGAATTCCTGAGCCAGTATGGCTCAGCTTGGAAACCTCTCCCTTTCCCCTCAGCATGGCTGCCTCAGGAATTCTGGGAATTGAAGTCCACGAGTCATAAAAGAGCCACGGTTGCCTACCCCTGGTATAAAGTCTCCTGCTTGAGCAGTGGTTGGACTAGAAGACCTCCAAGGTCCCTTCCAACTGTTACTCTGTATTCTGTATTTGCTGTCTCTTCTTCCTCTGAAACGTAGCCCGTCCCTTCTTGGAATCCAGACTACATTCCACTACAGCAGCATCACTTCCTCGTCTTCCAAGGTCATTCTCACACTCCATTTCACATATGGATATCTTCAATGGATAAGGCTGCTGAGTCAGCGAGCAAGAAACATAGGGATTAAGGGTGAGGTGGGAGGGGATACAGTTGTATTTCCATTAAAAGTCATAGTCGTTGGCAATCCCATTTTGGAATTATGTACTTCTTCCACTATTTGTGGCAAGGTCTACCTGCTGATGCCCAGATCTCTCCTTTCCATTTTCCAGCTCCACTTCGGGCCCCAGTTTTATATCCCACTCAGGTCTGGAAATCTTGGGTGGAGCTGCAGTGGGAGAGGCTCCCATTGGAAGAACAAGGTGGCGAGATCCAGAATTACACCCTTTACTACAAGGAAGAGAAGATGGATGACTATCGTAAGGAGAAAACTTATGCTTCTCAGCAAAGAGTTAGGTTTGGAATTTACAAGAAAAGTACCTCAGGTTGAAGTAGCAAGTTGCATTTAATTCTTTCAGAAGTTTTTCCCTTCCACTTTTTTTTTTAAAAAAATAACAAGTTTCTATCTAGAATAAGTGTTTTTCAATCTAGGCTGCTTGAAGATGAGTGGACTTCAGTTCCCAGAGTTCCCAGCCAGCTTGCAAATCTGAAAGGGCAAATATCCTGTTGTCTCTTTTAACTACCTGATTAGTTAGGGAGGATTTGTCCATCTGTCCGCCTAGCTGTCTGTCTGTCTCATGTATCTATCATATTTCTTTCTTTCTTTTTATTATCTATCATCTACTTATCAATCTATCATTTATCTATGTCATGTCTCTATCTCATGTCTCTATCATCTATCATGTGATCTCAGTCTATCTATCTATCTATCTATCTATCTATCTATCTATCTATCCATTTATCTATATCTCTATATCATCTAGCTAGCTATCAATCATCTTTCTCTATCACCTATTTATCTCTCTCATGTATCATCTATCTATCTATCTATCTATCTATCTATCGCTATCTCTATCTTTCATGTGTCATCTATCAATCTATCATTTATCTATGTCATGTCTCTCTCTCATGTATCTCATCTATCATCTATCATGTGATCTCAGTCTATCTATATCTATCTATCATCTGCCATCTATCAATCTATGATTTATGTCTTGTCTCTATCTCATTTATCTATCATCTGATCTCTGTCTGTCTATCTATCTATCTATCTATCTATCTATCTATCTATCTATCTATCTATCTATCTAGGGAAGAGAAGTCACCTAGGGAACAAGCAGATAAAAGGTGAAGGAGCCAGCAAATGTGTAACAGGCAGAGAAAGAAAGGTAGAAAAGATCCATCCTCAGACGATAAAAAAAGAGACGGCGGGAGATTTGTACTTTCAGACTTGCATGCTGGCCCAGGAATTCTAGGGATTGAACTCCACAAATCATAAAGGGACCATCATCTCTGCTCTACTGCAATGCCTGTGACCTCTAATAAAACTATGCTTTTCTCAACAAAGGGAGCTCAAGATCATTCCTATTTAGGGGTTTACGTTTGTGGCCGGTCTGATAGGAACCCAGGTCTCTCCGTGTCAGCCTTCCCAGGTAGAGTAGAAAACAAAAAACCCACAACTAGATTTATTTATTTGTTTGTTTATTTATTCATTCATTTGTTCGTTCATTCATTTGTGATGGCGCAAGGATTAGAATGCAGTGCTGCAGGTTCCTTCTGCCGGCTGCCTGCAGCCTCCCATCCATCCGAGGTCGGTAATAATGAGGACTCAGATTGTTGGGGGGGGAGGGGCAATATGCTGACTCTGTAAACAGCTTAGGGAGAGCTGTAAAGCACCATGAAGTGGTATATAAGTTAAGTGTTATTGCTTTTACTTACTCACTCACTCACTCACTTATCTATCTATCTATCTATCTATCTATCTATCTATTTATCGTATAGTGATGATACATTAGCCAGGAGACAACAGAGTGTTAATACAGAGTAGTTAGTTGTTTTGGCTGCCCTAAAAATGCTAGTCCAGTAATGGCGAACCTTTTAGAGACCAAGTGCCCAAACTGCAACCCAAAACCCACTTATTTATTGCAAAGTGCCAGGGCTGCATCATCAGGTGGGACTGGGGGCGTGGCCCACTGGGTGGGTGTGGCTGCAGTGGTCACGGCAGACTGGGTGAGCATCTCCGGGGCATCCCCGGGGGGCCAACGCCACTTGCTCACTCACTTCCTGCCTGTCACTTCCAAACGTCACGTGCTCCCTGCTCTGGTGAACTCTGCTGGGGCAACGGCACATGTGCCCACAGAGAGGCCTCTGAGTGCCGCCTCTGGCACGCGTGCCGTCGGTACGCCACCACTGTGCTAGTCTGTTCGGTTCACATTCACGCGTTATCCAAAAGTGCCCAACAGGGGGCGAACTAGCTCTACTGTATTGTAAGGCAGGGGTTTCAACCTTTTCACCCATTGTACCACTTTTAAGATATGGCAATATTCGAGTACCACCAGGCGCCTAGAAAGGTGTCAAAAACTTGATGATAAAAAAAGGAAAAAAGTGATGAAGTACAGGTAGTCCTTGACTTACAACAGTTCGCTTGGTGACTGTTCGAAGTTACCATGGCACTGAAAAAAGTGTCCCCCAAGCCACAGCCGAGCAAGACACCTGCCTGCCCACCCAGCTGCGGTCTTCCTCCTGTCCAAGGTTTTCATTGTTGGCAGTGGGGATGGGTGGGGGGGTGTTTGGTTTTTATTCCCCCCATCTGCTGAGTGGTTGCAGCAGGTTTTGGTCACTTCCCATGACCCTGGGACACTGTGACCGTCATAAATATGAATCGGTTGCCAAGCATCTGAATGTAAATCCCAAGACCCTGGAGATGCTGCAACGTTCCAGCTGATTGGTGCTTCTTCAGGGCTAAGCAGAAGCACCCGGATCAGCGCCGAGCTCCAGCTGGAGCCTGGCGCTGATCCTGGTGCTTCCACGGAGCCCTGACAGCCCCGAAGAAGCGCCGATCCTGGGGCTTCCGCTGAGCCCTGACAGCCCTGCAGCTCCAGCCGTCTCTCGCTCAGGCTTGTGCGGTGCTGCTACCGGTTCAGCTCATTCCCCACCCCCGCTACCACTTTTCTAGAATGGTCACGTACTACCTGCCAGGTGCCAATGTACCACAGGTGGTACCCATACCACTGGTTGAAAAGCCCTGTTGTAAGGCTCCATCAACGGACTCTTGCCAGTCTGAAAGGACAAGTCTCCCACCATTTCCTTTACAATCCCCCAAAAAAACCCTCCGAAGGGCCCCTTCTGAGCCTCTTTCTCCATCCATTAGGCAGGTCTGGGCTAGGTCCTCTCTTCTCTGACCGTTCCCTAGGATACATTCCTTTGGTCCATCTCTCAAAGTCTTTCTCTCACACACACCCGCTTCTAGCCCAGCACCGTCACCACCAGGCTGTCTTGAGCCTGCAGTTTATTCTTGAAACCTGCACCCAACACTGTGACCTAAATACAGGTAGTCCTCATTTTACAACAGTTCCTTTAGCGACCATCCGAAGTTACAACTGCACTGGAAAAAAGTGACTTATGACCGTTTTTCACTCTTATGACCTTTATCACATCCCCTTTATAAAGGTTGGCTATCGCTTAATTAGTTTTTACGCCGCCACAGACGCGCTTGGCCTGAATGTATTTGAAGCGGCTGAGTTTTAAGGCGAACCGTTGCATATAAATGAAAAGGGGGGGCTACACAAGTAGAAAAAAAGAGGCTACGTTTTTTATCCCTGATATATTTTGGATCATTTTTGGGGGGGAATTGGGAATGCATTCTCTTTTTCTGCCTTTAGAAGGCCAGGTCTGCCCTTCAGCGTGCTCCTCGTAGACGTCTGCTGGCTTAAAAGCCCACTCTTAAGAAAGGACAGCACTTTGAAAGTATAAATTTGCTTTGAAAGAGAAATTGGAACTGCAAGAAAGAAAGTTAAAACATTTGAGCAAGGGATTTTCCTGATTAACATGCTCTCATTTTGGCTTCCACGTGACACCAGACTTCATTAGTATAAATCATCACGTTTTTATGCCCTACGATTAACTGGAAACTGAGCATATTAAACAATTCCTGATTAATTATTTCTTTCGCTTTCTTTTAAAAAAAAAATTCCTCCATGCGAAACAGCAAATTAGTTTGGTTGTAACGTATATACATTTTGGAGCTGTTTGTGCATTTTAGAAATGTTCACCTAGCCCAGGGGTAGGCAACCTTGGCTCTTTTATGACTTGTGGACTTCAACTCCCAGAATTCCTGAGCCAGCCATGCTGAGGGGAAAGGGAGAGGTTTCCATGCTGAGCCATGCTGGCTCAGGAATTCTGGGAGTTGAAGTCCACGAGTCATAAAAGGGCCAAGTTTGAAGACTCCTGCTCTTAATCTTTGTCCTAGGACAGGGGTAGGCAACCTTGGCTCTTTTATGACTCGTGGACTTGAACTCCCAGAATTCCTGAGCCAGCATGGCTCAGCTTGGAAACCTCTCCCTTTCCCCTCAGCATGGCTGCCTCAGGAATTCTGGGAGTTGAAGTCCACAAGTCATAAAAGAGACAAGGTTGAAGACCCCTGCTCTTTATCTTCGTCCTAGGATAGGGGTAGGCAACCTTGGCTCTTTTATGACTCGTGGACTTCAATTCCCAGAATTCCTGAGCCAGCCATGCTGAGGAGAAATGGAGAGGTTTCCATGCTGAGCCATGCTGGCTCAGGAATTCTGGGAGTTGAAGTCCACGAGTCACAAAAGGGCCAAGATTGCCTATCCCTGCCGAAGCCATAGGTTAATGGCATCCTTTCTAGACTAATTGATTGGCATTTATTTAAATTATAAACCTATTTGATCACAAGATCAAAATTCAGACCCTTGGCCACCGACTGATATGTATGACAGTTGCAGTGCTTTGGGGTCGTGTGATTCCCCCTTTTGCAACTTTCTGACGAACAAAATCAATAGGGAAGCCAGATTCACTTTAAAACCATTGTCACTCACTTAACCATCGCATTGATTCACCTAACAACTGTGGCAAAAAAAAAAAAAAAGTTTGTAAAATGGAGCAAAACTCACTTAACATCTGTTTTGCTTAGCAACCGAAATTTTCGGCTCAATTGTGGTTGTAAGTCGAGGACTGTCTTTATAAAAAGCTAGTCTCTGTCCCCAGGAGCTTGCACGGCCAAGGTCCACGGAGTCTTTGCGACTGTTGGTCTGGCCTCTCCCTGCTTCTTCTTTTCCAGGGGCCGTGGTGCTGGATGGCACGGTGCATCGCTACGTCATCAATGGCTTGGCCCCTGGCTCGACTGTGAGGATGTACATGGTGACTACCAATGAAGGTGGAAGCACCAGAGGATCCATCCTGTCTATCCGCACCAAGAATTATGGTGAGGATTGTTGAATAGGGTAGGGTGGGGTAGGGTAGGGTAGGGTAGGGTAGGGTAGGGTAGGATAGGATAGGATAGGATAGGATAGGATAGGATAGGATAGGATAATAAGAATGGAATGGAATGGAATGGAATAATAAGAATAGAATAGAATAGAATAGAATAGAATAGAATAGAATAGAATAGAATAGACTAGAATAGAATAGAATAGAATAGAATAGAATAGAATAGAATAGAATAGAGTAATAAGAATGGAATAGAATAGAATGGAATGGAATGGAATGGAATAATAAGAATAGAATAGAATAGAATAGAATAGAATAGAATAGAATAGAATAGAATAGAATAGAATAGAATAGAATAGAGTAATAAGAATAGAATAGAATGGAATAGAATAGAATAGAATAGAATAGAATAGAATAGAATAGAGTAATAAGAATAGAATAGAATGGAATGGAATGGAATAATAAGAATAGAATAGAATAGAATAGAATAGAATAGAATAGAATAGAATAGAATAGAATAGAATAGAATAGAATAGAATAGAATAGAATAGAATAGAATAGAATAGAATAGAATAGAATAATAAGAATGGAATAATAAGAATGGAATGGAATGGAATAATAAGAATAGAATAGAATAGAATAGAATAGAATAGAATAGAATAGAATAGAATAGAATAGAATAGAATAGAATAGAATAATAATGGAATGGAGTGGAATGGAATAGAATAGAATAGAATAGAATAGAATAGAATAGAATAGAATAGAATAGAATAGAATAGAATAGAATAGAGTAATAAGAATGGAATAGAATAGAATGGAATGGAATGGAATGGAATAATAAGAATAGAATAGAATAGAATAGAATAGAATAGAATAGAATAGAATAGAATAGAATAGAATAGAATAGAGTAGAGTAATAAGAATAGAATAGAATAGAATAGAATAGAATAGAATAGAATAGAATAGAATAGAGTAATAAGAATAGAATAGAATGGAATGGAATGGAATAATAAGAATAGAATAGAATAGAATAGAATAGAATAGAATAGAATAGAATAGAATAGAATGGAATGGAATGGAATGGAATGGAATGGAATGGAATGGAATGGAATGGAATGGAATAATAAGAATAGAATAGAATAGAATAGAATAGAATAGAATAGAATAGAATAGAATAGAATAATAAGAATGGAATAATAAGAATGGAATGGAATGGAATGACAGAGTTGGAAGGGACCTTGGAGTCTTCTAGTCCAACCCAAGTAGTCCAAGTAGGGTGTGATCTACTTTATCAGTAAGGCATTTGATAAAGTAGATCACACCCTACTACTTGACAAGATAGAAAAATACTCAGCGTGTGATCCTCAATGGAACTGCATCTATATGGAGGGAAGTGTGTAGTGGGGTGCCCCAGGGCTCTGTTCTGGGCCCAGCGCTCTTCAACATCTTCATCAATGATCTGGACCAGGGGATAGATGGGGAACTCATCAAATTTGCAGACAACACCAAGCTGACAGGAATAGCCAACACTCCAGAAGACAGGCTTAAGATACAGAACAGACTTGAACACTGGGCACTATATAACAAAATGAAATTCAATGGTGAAAAAAGCACGGTTCTACATTTAGGCAAGAAAAACCAAATGCACAGGTATAGTATAGGGGGTACCTTGCTCAATAGTAGTAACTGTGAGAGGGATCTCGGAGTCCTAATGGACAATCACTTAAATATGAGCCAGCCGTGTGCTGCAGCTGCCAAAAAGGCCAACACAGTGCTAGGCTGCATTAACAGAGGGATAGAATCAAGATCACGTGAAGTGTTAATACTTTACAATGCCTTGGTAAGGCCACACTTGGAATACTGCATCCAGTTTTGGTCACCGCAATGTAAAAAAGATGTTGAGACTCTAGAAAGAGTACAGAGAAGAGCAACAAAGATGATTAGGGGACTGGAGGCTAAAACATGTAAGGAACGGCTGCTGGAATTGGGAATGTCTAGTTTAATGAAGAGAAGGACGAGGGGGGACAGGGTAGCAGTCTTCCAATATCTCAGGGGCTGCCACAAAGAAGAGGGAGTCAAGCTATTTTCCAAAGCGCCTGAAGGCAGGACAAGAAGCAATGGATGGAAACTAATCAAGGAGAGAAGCAACCTAGAACTAAGGAGAAACTTCCTGACAGTGAGAACAATTAACCAGTAGAATAACCTGCCTCCAGAAGCGGTGAATGCTCCAACATTGGAAGTTTTTAAGAAGAGACTGGACAGCCATTTGTCTGAAATGGTGTAGGGTTTCCTGCCTGAGCAGGGGGTTGGACTAGATGACCTCCAAGGTTCCTTCCAACATTATTATTATTATTATTATTATTATTATTACTATTATTACTATTATTACTATTATTATTATTATCTCCTGCTTAGGCAGGAGACCCTATACCATTTCAGTTAAATGGTTGTCCAATCTCTTCTCAAAAACATCCAGGGTTGGACTATTCACATCTGCTGGAGGCAAGCTGGATAAACCATGGTTCAAGGCAGCCCATGTATGCATCCTTTATGTCAGGGGTCTCCAATCCCTGGGCTGTGGCTCGCTCAGAACCAGCCTGTGGAAGTGCATGGCTTTAAAAAAATCTTTAAAAAAGAAAAAGTGCCTACATGAGTTCTTAAAATCCTCTTTCACCGTCCTAAGCCTTCTTTTCTCTTTTTCTCCAGACTACGGGGAAGTTGAAATCCTGCTCTCCGTTTTTTGCATAGGGTTCATCATTCTCCTCGCAGGAACTCTGGTCTGCATTTCCAGACATCAATCGTATGTCAATAAGGATTGCATTTTCAATTTATCCTTGTCATTCCCTATGTTCGCCTGCCTGTTTGTCTCTCTGTCTCTGTCTCTCTGTCCCTCCCTCCCTCCCTCCATCCATCCATCCATCTACCTACTTACATATCTATCTATCATCTATCAACTATCTTCTATCCATGTCATCTATCTGTCTCATTTATCTATCATCTTTCTTTCTTTCTTTCTTTCATCTGTCATCTATCAATCTATCATTTATCTATTTCATGTCTCTTATCTCTTTCATGTCTCATCTATAATCTATCATTTGATCTCAGTATTTATCTATCTATCAATCTATGTCTTCATCTATTATCTATTTATCTATCTATTATCTATTTATTATCTATTTATCTATGTCTTTATCTATTATCTATGTATCTATCTATATCTATGTATTTATCTCTGTCTGTCTGTCTGTCTATCTATCTATATCTATCTATGTCTTTATGTCTTTATCTATCTATCTATCTATCTATCTATCTATCTATCTATCTATCTATCTGTTGAGTCTGTGGCGGGAAACAGACACGAGAAGCAGCTGGAGTTCTCAGTTTCTTTTATTCAGCGTTCAGCTTACAGGAAGATGGCTTCAGCCTCGCCCAAACGCCTCGCAGCCTCTTATATAGGCAACTCCCGGGTAAATGGGTTACTTTTCCCGTGCCAGCACCCGCGCATGCGCACGGCGCTGGCGACAGCCTGTCTGGTCCCGGGCAGCTTTGCACCTGCCCGGGACTGCCTGCAAATGCCCGAGCCGTTTGCAAGGCTCGGGACATAACACCCCTTTTCCCCGGGCTAAAACTACTACCAACATACAACATTTATTTTATACGACAATTTGCTCCCCAGTGCTCCCACTGTTTACTGGCTTTTGCCTTGCCAGCAATGTTATGTAATCTTCTAGGTACTTAGGAGATTTCTTTGCTCTCTGTGACCTTCTTAGCTCTGGGTTACTGGCATAAGTCCCCTGACTGGAGGGAGGCGTGAGCCTGTTCTCTCTATTGTGCCCTGGTGTTTTCCAAGGACTGTGCCCCGATGCCTGGCCTGCTTGCTTGCCCACCGGGCTCGTCAGGCCAGGGCTTCTGTTGCTTTGTGACCTGGTTGTCCTACCTAGCTGTAGACCCTCAGGCCCCGTGAAGTGATAGCCACTGCTGGGCGTCTCTGTAGAACCTCCTAGGTCAGTCCAAGACCTGTCAGGAGGCTGTCCCATCCCTGAACCCCATTCTGTGCTCGGGCTCGTGTGGGTTACTGTACTTTCCCAAAACTCAGGTGTTCCCTGATTTGTGCTAGGGGTGTTGTAGTCGGGACTTGGTTCCTCGACTAGCTCTGTGTATGTTTGACCCCCTGTAGGATTTGGGGTAAGGTCAGGCCACCCTTGGGTATTGTGTGCCAGCTCTCTTGCGGGGAATGATTTGTTGGGATGCCCCCGGGTATCCCCCGTTGCTGGAGTGCTGTGTGCTGTGTGTGGACAGTGAGTATGCCCCCGGGGTAACTCCCTGGCTGGAGTAGGCGTGAGTGCCTGTTGTGTGGGTAAGCTCCATGAATTCCTTTTCGGAGCAATTGCGGAACCCTGGGATGGGCCGTTTGTGGCTCCTTCAGTGGAGATGGGCAGTAGCTCTTGCCCTTCCCTTTGCTCCAAAGGGTCCCCCTCCCCCCCTGGAAAAGACCCAGGAGTCTCATCAGAAAAGTCTCGCCTAGAGCGAAGTTGGTCGATGTGCCGACGCAGGACACGACCGTGGTCCAGGGCAACCTCGTAGGAGAGAGGACCTGTGATCCTGGACACAGAAGCGGGGACCCATGTATGACCAGGCCCGTAATTGCGAGCCCAAACCGTGGCACCCACAAGTAGTTGTCTAGGTGCCCTAGGATGTGAGGTAGATGAAGGCAGTCTGTCCGGATGCAACCGGTCAAGTCTAGTAGTAAGTTGGCGCCCCCAACGAAGTTCAGCTGGACTTCTCCCTGTAGAAGGGGACGGTGTGGTGCGATAAGAAAGGAGAAAGTCAGCCAACCTGTGATGCCAGTCCCCGTAGGTGAGTCTCTTCAAGGCGTCCTTTGCGATGCGCACCATGCGTTCAGCCATACCGGTGGTGGACGGGTGAAAAGGCGCAGACGTGGCATGACGAATCAGGTTTGCCTGTAAGAAAGCTTGGAATTCGGAGGAGGTGAATTGAGGGCAGTTGTCGGACACAATGACATCTGGCAGCCCGTGTGCAGCAAAAATCCCCCTCAGTACCTGAATAGTCTTTGCAGTGGTGGTGGATGAGACAGGCACAACCTCAAGCCATTTTGAATGGCTGTCAACAAGGACCAAGAAGAACTGGCCCTGAAAGGGCCCAGCGTAGTCAATGTGCACCCTAGACCATGGGGACTGTGTTTCCTCCCATCTATGCACAGGAGCTTGGGGCATCTCTGGGCGAGATCGTTGGCACAGGTGGCATGCGTGTACCGTATCCTCAATACCTTTATCTAAACCAGGCCACCACAAGTGGCTTCGTGCAAGAGCCTTCATACGAACAATGCCAGGATGACCCTCGTGGAGGGATTCTAAGACCCTAGTCCTCATTGAGGTGGGAATGACAACTCTGTTTCCCCAAAGCAGACAACCCTGAGAAAGGGACAGTTCGTTCCTTTTGGACCAGAAACTCTGAAACTCAGGACTAGGGCAGTGCTCAGGCCACCCGGACAGGACCCAGGAGCGGACACGTGAAAGTGTGTGATCTGTACCTGTTTCAGCGGTAACATCCCTGGCACTAAGAGGGAGCTCGGGCAAGGCTTGGATTGATAGAATGTTGACAGCTGGCGCGGGGTCAGCTTCTACTACTGGCAGAGGCAACCTACTGAGGCCATCAGCATGGCCCATTTCTTTCCCAGGCTTGTGGATTAATGAAAAATCATATGCAGACAAAAAAATAGACCACCTAAGCATTCTAGGGGAAATGATGTGGGGAGTCTGCTTACGTGTGGTAAACAGTCCCAGCAGAGGCTTATGGTCAGTGAAGACCGTGAAATGCCTGCCATATAGAAAATCGTGGAATTTTTTAATTCCAGCAACAACAGCCAGAGCCTCCCTGTCTATCTGAGCGTAGTTGCGCTCGGCAGAAGACAGTGTTCTGGAGTAGTATGCAATAGGAACCTGAGTTCCATCAGACCTGAGATGACTCAGGACAGCTCCAACCCCGTAGGGGGACGCATCACAAGCGATGCACACAGGAAGAGACTCGTTGAAATGTGCAAGAACACTGTTAGAAGTGAGCAAGGCCTTGACTTCTTTAAAGCAAGCCTCATGTACTTGTGACCACAGCCACACAGCTTGTTTGTCTAGTAGCCTGTGAAGAGGCTCAGCTACACTAGCTTTATGTGGAAGAAAAGAATTGTAGAAATTCAGGAGGCCTAAGAAGGCCTGAAGTTCGGCCTTAGACTTTGGCCTGGGTGCTTCTAAAATAGCAGTTAATTTGGATTCAGCAGGATGAATCCCAGCAGCATCAATTTTGAATCCCAGAAATTCAGTAGAAGGCACCCCAATCTGGCATTTGTCTTTTCTGAGCTTGAGGCCTGATTTCCTGAATCTTAACAGGACAGCCCTAAGCCTTTCAGCTAGAATGTGTGTGGAGTCTCCTGCAATCAAGACATCGTCAAAGTAGGGGCAGACCCCTGGTATACCTCGTAGTGTGTTTTCCATTACGCTTTGGAAAATCCCAGGAGCGACATTCACTCCAAACTGTAGCCTTTTTACCTTAAAGGCTCCCCTGTGGGTCACAATGGTCTGAGCTATAGCAGCATCATCATCAACAGGCAGCTGTTGATATGCTTGAGCTAGGTCAAGCTTTGCAAAAACACGCCCCCCCTTGAGAGAGGCCAGGATGTGACTGACCACAGGAACAGGATAGGCATGTTGCTGCAATGCCTTATTGAGTGTGCATTTGTAATCAGCACAAATGCGAATGTCCCCATTTGCCTTTAGAGGCGTGACAATGGGGGTCTCCCATGGGCTGGAATCAACAGGTTCTAGGATTCCTTGTTGGATTAGTTTGTCTAATTCAGTGTCAATCTTACTTTTTAAAGCAAAAGGGACCCTTCTTGCTTTAATCCTAATGGGAGTGACAGTGGGGTCTAGCTTTAAGGACACAGGTGGTCCTTTGAATGTGCCCAGCTGGGGGCTGAAAACATCTGCAAATTCTTTGCAGACTTCCTGTAGGTCGAGTGTTTGTAAGCTGTTGAGTCCTGTGACGTGTATCCCCAGGGCCTCAAACCAATCGAGTCCTATGAGACTCGTTCGTTCACCCCCTACTACTAATAAGTCTAGTGGACCTTCAAAACTCTTGTATTGCACGTTAAGGGTGGCCTCCCCCTTAACACACACTCTTGAGTTCTGAAAATCTGTTAATACAACATCAGAAGGCCTTAACTTGGCCTTAGTCCCACTACTGGAACAAATCTTCCTAAATGTATGCAATGAAATGATGGAAAGGGCAGACCCTGTGTCTAGTTCCATAGATAATGGAACCCCTTGTAGCTTCACGTTGAGTGACAGCTTTTTCTTCATGGGCTTGTGTGTGCCTGTCCTACAGATGCTTCTTCGCGAAGCGCAAAAACCTACCCTATTCTGGCTGGGGAGTCTGGTACCCTTCAGGCGTTCTTCTTGGGGTTGTGCCTTTCATCGGCCCAGACACACAGCTGCAATGTGCCCTTGTTTGCCGCATGCCCGGCAGGTAGCGGAGCGGAACTTGCAGTCGGTTCTCCTGTGGCGACCTCCACAGCCGATGCACTTGAGCGGAGCCGAAGAGCTTCCCTTCTGGTTTTCTTCCTTCGCGGGGTGTAGACGGTCGACTTCCTCGTCCGGATCCTCCTCGGAGTTTCGTCGGACGTCTTCCTGGTGCACGGACGCACCCTCTGCACTGCTTCTGATCGGCCGCATGTTCTTGACGGCGCCGCCTGCTGCTTCTTCTGCGGTGACTTCCCTTAAGGCGTCTTGGAAGGATAATTCTTCCTTAGCGAAAAGTCTCTGTTGTAGCTCTCGATGCCTTAACCCGCACACGAATCGGTCCCTCAGTCGTTCCTCGAGGTCCTTGAACTCGCAGGGCTTGGCGGCCTTCCGTAACGCGGCGATGTATTCCTTGGCTGACTCACCGGACCGTTGATCCCTCTGTTCGAAGGTGTGTGGCGCCATGAGATAACGGACACCTTGGGGTGGAAGTGCTCCTTCAGCAGCTTCTTCAGGTCTGCGTAGCTTACAGACTCTACTGGGACAGGTGCTGCAAGGTTTTCTGCGATTTCGAAGGCGTCTTGGCCGCAAACGCAAAGCAGGGTGGCCGGCCTTCAAGCTATCTTCCCTCACTTGGTTTGCCTTGAAGTAGTTCTCCATTCTGGATACGTAGGACTCCCACCGCTCTGGATGTGAGACGTCGAATTCCGAAAGCCTTCCGATTTTCGCCATCTTCGGATCTTCAGGAGACGGGTCTATCAGCCAGCCTACCCCCGAATGCGCACCGGATTGGCGGGCAGCTGCCGAGTCGACGCCGTTCCTCTTCCGCTGCTCAGGACTCCTTGGGTAAGCTTACACTTCTTTCCTTTCCAGGTAGTGCAAGGCATCCCACCTTCGTCGCCAGTGTTGAGTCCGTGGCGGGAAAACAGACACGAGAAGCAGCTGGAGTTCTCAGTTTCTTTATTCAGCGTTCAGCTTACAGGAAGATGGCTTCAGCCTCGCCCAAACGCCTCGCAGCCTCTTATATAGGCAACTCCCGGGTAAATGGGTTACTTTTCCCGCGCCAGCACCCGCGCATGCGCACGGCGCTGGCGACAGCCTGTCTGGTCCCGGGCAGCTTTGCACCTGCCCGGGACTGCCTGCAAACGCCCGAGCCGTTTGCAAGGCTCGGGACATAACACTATCTATGTCTTCATCTATTATCTATTTATCTATTGTCTATCTATTATCTATTTATCTATGTCTTTATCTATTATCTATGTATCTATCTATATCTATATCTATGTATTTATGTATGTATCTATCTATCTATCTATGTCTTCATCTATTATCTATTTATCTATCTATTGTCTATCTATTATCTATTTATCTATGTCTTTATCTATTATCTATGTATCTATCTATATCTATGTATTTATCTCTATCTGTCTGTCTATCTATCTATATCTATCTATGTCTTTATGTCTTTATCTATCTATCTATCTATTTATGTCTTCATCTGTTATCTATTTATCTATTGTCTATCTATTATCTATTTATCTATGTCTTTATCTATTATCTATGTATCTATCTATATCTATGTATTTATGTATCTATCTATCTATCTATCTCTTCATCTATTATCTATTTATCTATCTATTGTCTATCTATTATCTATTTATCTATGTCTTTATCTATATCTATGTATCTATCTATATCTATGTATTTATCTATCTATCTATCTATCTATCTATCTATCTATATCTATCTATGTCTATCTATGTCTCTATCATCTATTATCTATTATCTATCTGTATGTCATTGCTCTTTGTCTCTCATGTATCTATCATCTTTCATCTAAACATACAGAGAGAATAGGGTTTAATTGCAAGTATGGACCCAGTGAGGATGCGATGTGTCATCTAGGCTTATATAATAAAACTAAATTTGAAAATCTATATGTAGTCCTCGATTTATGACCATTATTGAGCCACGATGGTCATAAAGTGGCCCACCATGTGACCATGCTTGATTTTATGACCTTTTGTGCAGAAGTCATTAAGCGAACGTGAAGAGTCACAAAGTGAATTAACAAGCCCTTTGTTTGGATAAGGGGCATTTTTTGACAAAACTCAAGTTTCCAGTAAATATTGTAAATTGCGGTCACGTGACTGTGGGATGCTGTCAATAAATCGGTTGGTGAGCACCCAAAATTCAGTCGTGTGACTGTGAGGCGGGAGGCAGATATTATAACTTCAAAACCAAAGAGCTTTTTTAGGGTCTATGATAATTTTGAATGGTTGCTAAGCAACCGGTCGTAAGTCGAGGACTGCCTGTAGAAGAAAGACTAAGGCATTCACTGTTATATCTTGGTTTCTAAAAATATCATCTTGATTCTTTTTCAAACTCATTTGGTTTCACTTTTCAAACAGATAGCTAAGAGCTTCTTGCTTTTTTACAAAACACAAAAGGATTGCGGAGTTCTTATTATTTACAGGTTGTGATTTTCCCTGTATAATTTTCAGACTTCGGAAGTATCTATGGCCACAGATTCCAGATCCCAGAAAAAGTAATTTGGCTACTTGGATACCACAGAACGTGTGTCTGGTAAGTGGGCCTCAGGGGAAGGGGCAGCTGGGTATGTTCCCCAGGAAAAACACAATCTGGAAGGCAATTTTAAGATGGGTGGACTTCAATTCCCAGAATGCCTCAGGTATCATTTGTGGACCAACTCCCAGAATGCCTCAGCTGGCATTTGTGGACTTCAGTTCCCAGAATGACTGAGTTGGCATTTGTGGACTTCACCTCCCAGAATGCCTCAGGCATCATTTGTGGACTTCACCTCCCAGAATGCCTCAACTGGCATTTGTGGACTTCAATTCCCAGAATGCCTGGGTTAGGATTTGTGGACTTCAGCTCCCAGAATGCCTCAGGCATCATTTGTGGACTTCAGCTCCCAGAATGCCTCAACTGGCATTTGTGGACTTCAATTCCCAGAATGCCTCAGCTGGCATTTGTGGACTTCAGCTCCCAGAATGCCTCAGCTGGCATTTGTGGACTTCAATTTCCAAAATGCCTCAGCTGGCATATGTGGACTATTCAACTCCCAGAATGCCTCAGGCGTCATTTGTGGACTTCAATTCCCAGAATTCCTCAGCTGGCATTTGTGGACTTCAGGTCCCAGAATGCTTCAACTGGCATTTGTGGACTTCAATTCCCAGAATGCCTGAGTTGGCATTTGTGGACTTCAGCTCCCAGAATGCCTCAGCTGGCATTTGTGGACTTCAATTTCCAAAATGCCTCAGCTGGCATATGTGGACTATTCAACTCCCAGAATGCCTCAACTGGCATTTGTGGACTTCAATTCCCAGAATACCTCAGCCAGTGGGGTTTTCCGCCTCCGCAATAGCCCACATTCCATCCCTACTGGGCATGCTCGGCTTTCTTTGGTTGCTTTAAGAAATTTCCTCACATTCAGATCTTGGCCTGAGCTAGCCAACATTTATCCAGAGATGGTGTCAGTTTGGCTGGATGGCCCAAAAACGATCATTCTTAACAATTAAAGACAATGTTGATCAGATCCATCCATCAGGTGGAAAGTTATATAGAGAGTCTTTGACTTACAACCATTCATTTGGTGACTGTCTGAAGTGACAACGGCATTGAAGAAAGGGACTTACCATTGTTTTTCACACTTAACAACTATTGTAGCATTGTCATGGTCACATGATCAAGATTCAGATGCCTGGCAAACGGGCATGTTAATTTATGGTGCTTGCAGTGTCCTGGGGTCATGTACAGATAGTCCTTGATTTACAACCACAATGGAGGCCAAGCGCTAAGCGCCACATTTGTTAACTGAATTTTGATTCATTTTACGATCTTTTTTCCCACAGTTGTTACATGAATCACTGCAGTTGTTAAGTTAGTGACACGGTTGTTAAGTGAATCTGGCTTCCCCATCGACTTTGCTTTGCTCAGAAGCTCGCAAAAGGGGATCACATGACAGCAAGACACGGCAACCGTCATAAATGCGAGTCAGTTGCCAAGAGTCTGAATTTTCATCACGTAACCCTGGGGATGCAGCATGGGTCGTAAGTGTGAAAACCTGTCACAACTCACTTTTTTCAGTGCTGTTGTAACTTTGCACTGTCACTAAACGAGCTGTTGCAAGTCGAGGACTCTCTGTAAATCAGCATTTGTGACCTTCTGGCGAGTAAAGTCAGTGGGGGAAGCCAGATTCACTTAACAAACCATGTAACTAACTTAATAATTGCAATGATCCACTTATAGCACGGGTGGCAAGAAAGCTCATAAAATGGGGCAAGACTCTCTTAACAACTGTCTCACTTAGCGGCAGAAATGTTGGGCTTAATTGTGGTCGTAAGTCGAGGATTACCTGCATTTCGTTGTGGGTGCAGATATATCTACGGTACCTTAAACATGATCTGCCCTTCTCTTCTCTTCTCTTCTCTTCTCTTCTCTTCTCTTCTCTTCTCTTCTCTTCTCTTCTCTTCTCTTCTCTTCCCTTCCCTTCCCTTCCCTTTCCCTCCCTCCTCTCCTCCCCTCACTTCCCCTCACCTCTTCTCTCCCCTCGCCCTTCCCACCTCTCCTCTCCCTTCCCTTCCCTTCCCTTCCCTTCTCTCTTCTCCTCTCCCCTCCTCCTCTTCCCTTCTCTCCCTCCTCTCCTTGCCTCCCCTCCCCTCGCCTCTTCTGCCTCCTTTCCTCCTCTTCCTTCCCCTCCTCTCCCCTCCTCCTTCCCACCTCCTCTCCTCTGCCTTCCCTTCTCTCCTCTCCCTTCCCTTCCTTTTCCTTCCCTTCTCTTCTCTCCTCTCCTCCTCTTCCCTTCCCTTCCCTCCCTCCCTCCTCTCCTCTCCTCCCCTCACCTCCCCTGCCTCCCTTCCCCTCCTCTCCTCTCCCTTCCCCTCCTCTCCCCTCCCCTTCCCACCTCTCCTCTCCCTTCCCTTCCCTTTTCTTCTCTCCTCTCCTCCCCTCCCCTTTCCCTCCTCTCCTCCCCTCCCCTCCCCTGCCTCCTCTCCCCTCCCCTTCCCACCTCTCCTCTCCCTTCCCTTCTCTTCTCTCCTCTCCTCCTCTTCCCTTCCCTTCCCTCCCTCCCTCCTCTCCTCCCCTCACCTCCCCTGCCTCCCTTCCCCTCCTCTCCTCTCCCTTCCCCTCCTCTCCCCTCCCCTTCCCACCTCTCCTCTCCCTTCCCTTCCCTTTTCTTCTCTCCTCTCCTCCCCTTCCCTTTCCCTCCTCTCCTCCCCTCCCCTCCCCTGCCTCCTCTCCTCTCCCCTCCCCTTCCCACCTCTCCTCTCCCTTCCCTTCCCTTTTCTTCTCTCCTCTCCTCCCCTTCCCTTTCCCTCCTCTCCTCCCCTCCCCTCCCCTGCCTCCTCTCCCCTCCCCTTCCCACCTCTCCTCTCCCTTCCCTTCCCTTTTCTTCTCTCCTCTCCTCCCCTTCCCTTTCCCTCCTCTCCTCCCCTCCCCTCCCCTGCCTCCTCTCCTCTCCCCTCCCCTTCCCACCTCTCCTCTCCCTTCCCTTCTCTTCTCTCCTCTCCTCCTCTTCCCTTCCCTTCCCTCCCTCCCTCCTCTCCTCTCCTCCCCTCCCCTCCCTCCTCTCCCCTCCCCTCCCCCTTCCCACCTCTCCTCTCCCTTTCCTTCCCTTCTCTCCTCTCCTCTCCTCCTCTTCCCTTCCCTTTCCCCCCTCCCCTCCCCTGCCTCCTCTCCTCTCCCCTCCCCTCCCCCTTCCCACCTCTCCTCTCCCTTCCCTTCCCTTCTCTTCTTTCTTCTCTCCTCTCCTCCTCTTCCCTTCCCTTTCCCTCCTCCCCTCCCCTCCCCTGCCTCCTCTCCTCTCCCCTCCCCCTTCCCACCTCTCCTCTCCCTTCCCTTCTCCTCTTCAATCTCACCCACCCTTTAGGACTTCACTTCTCACTGCAATGAGAAATGGAGCCAGGCTTACTTTGGAGTAACCATCAGTGACCTCCTCAAGGTCTTTCCTTCTCAACCTGCGGAGACAGACCCACAACTCCTCCTTGGAAAGCAGTGGCTGGCGGAGTCTCCCAACGCTTTGCAGAAGGTTGTCCCTGTGATGAAAAGCGGGACGGCATCACGAGAACCTGCAGACCAGCAGCTCCAGAAAACTCTGGCAACTTGGAATGAGGTGGAGTACTCCAGGGTGCTGGTGGTCAAAAGCAACCCAGGACCAGGTGAAACCTGGAGCGCTCCTCCTTGCATGTGGTCCAGTTGCTGGGATCTGGCCAAAACGTGCCCTGAACCACCCTTGGGTCAACAGTTCTGGGTTCAGAATTTGACCTACGAGACCTTATTAGATGTCAAGTCCTACAACAGGTCAACCCCCGAGTCCATGGGTGAGTTTCCACTCTTGGTCAGTCTGGTGACAGTGGATGGAGAGCTACACTCTGTGGAAAAATCACCCCCCTAACCCACTGCAAACAGATCTCCTAAGACTTTAGATCTGAGCCAACTTAGAAGTTGGCCTGTGGAAAAAAATCCTTCTTTGGGTGATCCTCAATTCTTCAACCGGATGGGAAGAATTTGACGCAGCAAGAATTCACTATTTGGGAAGTTTGAAGACAACCGTTTGCTGATCTGAGCTGCTATTAAAAAAAAAAACAACTCTTGCCTCTTGAGATTTTGCAGAAAATGTCATTTCCTTTTTAGCATGTTTAGCTTCTGAGTTTGCCGGTGTTAATTGCCAACACGGCCCTGTGAACGGTGGTTCTTTGAATAAAGAGCAAAGGTTTTAAAAGGCGTTCTGCTAGCCAACTTCAGCTGGCCAAGATTTAATTGACAATGGGGGTGAATTTCAGACAATAATGAGTTTGCGTGCAGTTTTTCTTTTCTTTTTCTTTTTTCTTTTAACCTAAATTAGAGTTCAACTTCCAGTTGAAAAAAACAGATTTTCCAGGAGAAAGAGAGGGGAAAAAAGAGAAACTCGAAATGACTTACTCAATCCTTAAGGATTTTTCTTTCTTTTTTAATTTTATTTTTTAAACCAACAAAACAAAACAAAACATAACACAGATACTCACACAGTGTATACTCCTCCCTTTTTTTTAACAGCGATTTCGTAACAGTAATCTTTTATTATTTACATTTTCCCCCCTTTTTCTTCTTTAGAATATTTGTCCTTGTTGCCCCGTTGTTTCTTATTTGCATTTTTCTTCCTTCATACTATACTTCATACTAAGAATAATACATATTATTATTACTATACATTATTATACACACTTTTTCCACATTTAACCTTTCCACATTTATTCTCCTCTATTATTTCTAGTCTCCAACCAGTCATACCACTTGTTCCATATTAGATAGTACTCTGTGTCTTCCTTTTCTTTTATCTCTTTTGTTAATTTGTCCATCTCAGCACATTCCAGGATTTTTCTTATCACTTCTTCCTCTGATGGTATATTCTCATTTTTCCAGAACTGTGCATATGCTATTCTTGCTGCTGTTGTTATATGTAGAATTAAGTACCGTATTTCTCCTTAAGGATTTTTCTACAGTCTTTGAAGGGGGGAGGGGATAGAATTTCTGGTAAGGCCACACTTGGAATACGGCATCCAGTTTTGGTCACCACGATGTAAAAAAGATGTTGAGACTCTAGAAAGAGTGCAGAGAAGAGCAACAAAGATGATTAGGGAACGGGAGGCTAAAACAAACAAGGAATGGCTGCTGGAATTGGGTATGCCTAGTTTAATGAAGAGAAGGATTAAGGGAGACATGATAGCAGTTTTCCAATATCTCATGGGCTGCCCCAAAGAAGAGGGAGTCAAGCTATTCTCCAAAGCACCAGAAGCAAAGGATGTAGACTAATCAAGGAGAGAAGCAACCTAGAATTAAGGAGAAACTTCTTGACAGTGAGAACAATTAACCAGTGGAACCACCTGCCTCCAGAAGCGGTGAATGCTCCAACACTGGAAGCTTTTAAGAAGAGACTGGACAGCCATTTGTCCGAAATGGTATAGGGTTTCCTGCCTGAGCAGGGGGTTGGACTAGATGACCTCCAAGGTCCAACTTTATTATTATTATTATTATTATTATTATTATTATTATTATTATTATTATTATTATTATTATTATTATTATTATTATTATATCCCACAGAGGGATCGCCATGATTCACTTCTGGTTTCTGGCAAAAAATACCCCTGGCAGATAACAAGCTCATTTAATGTCAGCAGTATTTGCTTAATGACCATCGACCGGCAGCTTTTCTTCACAACCGCCACAAAAAAAATACCATAAAATTGGGCTGATTATATGATGACCTGCTTCATAATTTTACAATCCTAATTCTGAGCTCAATTACAGTCATAAATTGAGGTGTATCTGTACCTTCCCACTCACCCGTTGTTGAGCCTGCAATTGTACATTTTCACCACTAGAGGGCAAAGCTGTTGCACGGCTTTCCGGAGCTTGCCTGTTCGAAGCAATCCAAAAATCCCAAAATCTATCAAACGTGGCAGGTTCCCCCTAATTCCCCGATACTTTTTTTCTTTTCTAGAAGCAATGAAATAAATTATGATTCCAGTTGTAAAGGATTGGCTGTTTTAAGCTTCATGAAACTTTTCAGTGGTTCCCAAGAAAAATCCAGGGAAGAAACAACAACAACAACAATAATAATAAAGTTGGAAGGGACCTTGGATGTCATCTAGTCCCACCCCTTGCTCAGGCAGGAAACCCTACACCATTTCAGACAAATGGCTGTCCAGTCTCTTCTTAAAAGCTTCCAATGTTGGAGCATTCACCGCTTCTGGAGGCAGGTTGTTCCACTAGTTAATTGTTTTCACTGTCAGGAAGTTTCTCCTTAGTTCCAGGTTGCTTCTCTCCTTGAGTTAGTTTCCATCCGTTGCTTCTTGACCTGCCTTCAGGTGCTTTGGAGAATAGCTTGACTCCCTCTTATTTCTGGCAGCCCCTGAGATAGTGGAAGACTGCTATCCTGTCCCCCCTCGTCCTTCTCTTTGTTAAACTTGTTGTTGTTGCTGTTAATTGCGAAGTCGTGTCCGACCCATCGCGACCCCATGAACAACGTTCCTCCAGGTCTTCCTGTCCTCATTGAGTTACACAAGCCCCTTCGCCACGACAAGGCAGTAATCCATAAAGGGGTTCGTTAAACTAGACATACCCAATTCCAGCAATCGTTCCTTAGTATGTTTTAGGCTCCAGTCCCCTGATCATCTTTGTTGCTCTTCTCTGTACTCTTTCTGGAGTCTCAACAATTTTTTACATCGTGGTGACCAAAACTGGATGCAGGATTCCAAGTGTGGCCTTACCAAGGCATAGTAAAGTGGTATTAACCCTTCATGTGATCTTGATTCTATCCCTCTGTTAATGCAGCCTAGCACTGTGTTGGCTTTTTTGGCAGCTGCAGCACAAGGCTGGCTCCTATCTAAGTGATTGTCCACTAGGAGAATCCAGAAGATCTCTTGGTATTCTCATTACCATCCTCCACTGACATTTAAGGAAAACATCTGCAGGTAGTCCTCGACTTACAACCACAGTTGAGCCCAAGGTTTCTGTTGCTAAGCGAGAGCCATTAAGTGAGCTTTGCCCCATTTTACAACCTTCCTTGTCACGGTTGTTAAGTGAATCACTGCAGGTGTTAAGTTGGTAACGCCATTGTGTAAGTAAACCTGGCTTCCCCCACTGACTTTATCAGAAGGTCGCAAAAGGGGGTCGCGTGATCCCCCCCAGGACGCAGCAACTGTCATAAATACATTCCAGTTTTGCCAAGCGTCCGAATTTTGAGCCTGGGGCTGCTGCTACAGTCGTAAGTGTGAAAAACGGCCATACATCACTTTTTTTTTAGCACTGTTGTAACTTCATGTGGTCACTAAATGTTGTAAGTTGAAGACTAACTATAATAAAGAAATGGCGAGCCGGGGATGATCCGAAGTCTTGAAATGCCTTGAAATTCATAAATTCACTCTCCCTTGTGAAGAAAAACCATTGGGATCTCTTTCTTTAAGAAAGATAAAGATGGAGAGAGAAGAGAGAGAATATTTGGCTAATAAAATACTTGATTAAAAAGCTCAGCTTTTTGATGATAGATGGAGATGATAGATAGGTAGGTAGGTAGGTAGGTAGGTAGGTAGGTAGGTAGGTAGGTAGGTAGATAGATAGATAGATAGATAGATAGATAGATAGATAGATAGATAGATAGATAGACAGATAGACAGATAGATAGATAGATAGACCTAGATGATAGATATAGATAAATAGATAGATAGATACATATATAGATACATAGATACATAGATACATACACAGACCTAGATGACAGATACATAGATAGATAGACAGACAGAGACAGACAGATCTAGATGATAGATAGATAGATAGATAGATAGATAGATAGATAGATAGATAGATAATACGCAGACAGACAGACAGACCTAGATAGATAGATACATAGACAGATACATAGATACATAGACAGTCAGACCTAGATGATAGATGGATGGATGGATGGATGGATAGATAGATAGATAGATAGATAGATAGAAACATAGACAGTAGACTGATAGATAAGAGAGAGAGAGAGACTGATAGAGATAGATTGATAGAGACTGACAGAAAAGATGGATAGACAGAGAGAGACAAACAGACAGATGTCAATTTGTAATTTTATTTTTAAAGGAGGGAATATAAAGAAAATGAAGAAAAAAAGCAAAACGTCCCCCTTCCTTCCCAGCAAACAGAAATATTCCTGGGTTTTTAATGTTGATAAAATGGGTAGCAAAGTTTAATTTGTAGAAACTACAGCAATAATAAGAAGAACACTGCTGGGTAAATATTAGTGAAATTGCTATCCAGCCAGGGGTCAAGGTTAAGAGGAAATTGTGTTCTTTTATTTCAAAAATGGAGGATGGGTAACTTGAGATATTTCGTGGATCTATAAATCTGCAAAATATTACGACTCTCAATTGTTTAACATCCCGGGGGGGGGGGTGAAAGCCCCAGCAACATAACTCTGATCTCTGCCCAAAATTATACTGCTGTGTAATTCTGAGATAAACAGAAATGGCTTTTTCCATAGATGGATGTCAGTGATTCAGAAGGAATTGCTGGCTTCTGCATTCTTTCCACTTCAGTATTTGACTGAGTTCACACAGCACCCCAAATCGGAGTTTTCTTTAAGCAGGGGGGTTTTTTTGAACACAGTCTAGGATTCTCCAACATGTTGACCTCATTCACACAAATAAGATGCTAGAGGTGAGGATCGTGAGTTTGCTTAGTTCAAGAATCCATATTGAAGCATTTCTGACAAATAATTGTGTGAAGACATCCAGTGAAGGAGAAACTGTGAGCTCATGGTTTCCAAAGATTGAAATGTTCTTGGTGTTTTGGGAACTGCCTTCCTTTAGCTTAATTATTCCATGTCTGGAATGAGAAATATCAGCTCTTGAATTTGTGCTAAGCTTCCAGAAACTTCAGGAATGTTCTTGGAGTTAAGTCCATCTTTTTTTCCTCAGAGCTAAATAATTTCTCCCAATCTTTTTTCATTGCTTTTAATTTTCACTCCTCTCCTCATTTATGTCAGTGTTCTTCAATCTCTGCAACTTTAAGAAGGGTGGACTTCAACTCCCAGGATTCCCCAGTCAGCCGTGCTGGCTGGGGAATCCTGGGAATTGAAGTCCATACATCTTAAACTCGTTGAGATCCAGAAATATTGATTCACACTGCCCCCTTCTGCATCTGCTTCAGTTTCTCTCTTTCTTCAAGTGGGATGCCTGGACACATTAGGACAGTTTGCCCAACCTTAGTGATTTTAAGATATGTGGACTTCAACTCCCAGAATACCTAGCAGCCTTGGGTATTCTGGGAGTTGTAGTTCATATGTTTTAAAATGGCTAAGGTAGGAAACATTGCATTAGGAGGACCTGTGATGGAAACTGGCCAAAGCAGAAGAATAGTGACTTCCAATGTTTTGGAAACTAAATTTTTGCTGATTCAAGCCAGGATAACAAAACAGAATTATGCTCCATCGCATGCCTTGCCTAAAGGCAGAAAACAAGTTGTGCCTTATCATTATCTTTTCCTCAGAGACAACAGAGATCAACCCAGCTTTAACCGAGTCTAGAAAGCCACTAGGTCATCACTTGTGGCTTGCAAACCAAGCCGCATAAATTTGCATGTGCCAAGAAGCTGAAATCAAACAAAACTGCATCAAGGTTGAGTCTAACGCAGGAATAGGCAACCTTGGCTCTTTTATGACTGGTGGACTTCAACTCCCAGAATTCCTGAGCCAGCCTGGCTCAGCTTGGAAACCTCTCCCTTTCCCCTCAGCATGGCTGGCTCAGAAATTCTGGGAGTTGAAGTCCATGAGTCATAAAAGGGGCAAGTTTAAAGACCCCTGCTCTTAATCTTCATCCTAAGATAGGGGTAGGCAATCTTGGCTCTTTTATGACTCGTGAACTTCAACTCCCAGAATTCCTGAGCCAGCGTGAGGGAAACTTTGGCCCCTTCATGACTCGTGGACTTCAACTCCCAGAATTCCTGAGCCAGCGTGAGGGAAACTTTGGCACCTTCGTGACTCGTGGACTTCAACTCCCAGAATTCCTGAGCCAGAATGGCTCAGCTTGGAAACCTCTCCCTTTCCCCTCAGCATGGCTGGCTCAGGAATTCTGGGAGTTGAAGTCCACGAGTCATAAAAGAGCCAAGGTTGCCTGCCCCTGGGCTAGGCCTAGGCCCCTTTATGACTCGTGGACTTCAACTCTCAGAATTCCTGAGCCAGAATGGCTCAGCTTGGAAACCTCTCCCTTTCCCCTCAGCGTGGCTGGCTCAGGAATTCTGGAAGTCCACGAATCATGAAAGAGCCAAGGTTGCCTACCCCTATCCGTCCATCTCCAAGGATGTATTCCTCCAGTAGGCCTGATTATAGAGTGGCTAAGACTGTAAGAGCCGTGAGCCAGTCAGCTCAATACAAGTAGTAGACCTTGACTTACGATCACAACATTTCTGTTGATAATTGAGACAGTTGTGAAGTGAGCTTTGCCCCATTTTATGACCTTTCTCGCCATAGCTGTTAAGTGAACCACTGCAGTTGTTTAGTTAGTAATACGGTTCTTAAGGGACTCTGGCTTCCCGATTTTCAGAAGATCACAAAAAATGATCACATGGCCCCAGGACACAGCAACCATCATGAGTCAGTTGCCAAGCATCCAAATTTGGATCAGTGATTGGGGGGGGGGAATCTGGAACAGTCATAAGAGTCAGCTTCTTGCCTTCCCAACAATCTGGGTCCTCATTTTACCGACATTGGAAGGCTGGAAGGCTGAGTCAACCTTGAGCCGGTCAGAATCGAACTCCTGGCATTGGGCAGAGTTAGCCTACAATACTTCATTTTAACCAATACGCCACCATGGCTCTTAATGAGGGTTGTAAGTTGAGGATAGCTTTACCTGGGGAAGCTGAGATGAACAATGAGGGTTGTAAGTTGAGAATACCTGCTCATGGAGAAGCTGAGATGGACAATGATTGCTTGGATGGAAGAGTGTGCATATTATTTGGGTTTACGAACTGAGCAAATATTTATGGTTTGTGTAACTCCAATCATTGTAGGAACAAACACATCCCAGCATCTGAGTATCTTTTCCAAGGACTTCACAGCTGATCCACCAAGTACACAACTGCACCAATGGTGGCGCAGTGGTTAGAATGCAGTATTGCAGGCTGACTCTGCCCACTGCCAGGGGTTCGATCCTGACTGGGTCAAGGTTGACTCAGCCTTCCATCCTTCCGAGGACCCGGATGGTTGGGAGGGCAAGAAGCTGACTATATATGTATGAGTCAATTACCAAACATCTGAATTTTGATCCTGTGACACTTAACGGCGGTTAAGTGTGAAAAATGGCCTTATGTCACCTTTTTTCAGTGATGTAACTTTGAACGGTCACTAAAGTGAACCATTGTAAGTCGAGAACTACCTGTGCTGTAGTTTGGCCAGGTTTTGGAGGTCTCCTGACTGGACGTGGTGTCAAAACAGGCCACGGATTTTCAACGAACATCAGATGGGCTTTGGACGCACAAAGGATCCAGCTAAAAGGGCTTGTTTTAGAGAGGGTGGCCCACCAATTAAATACGAGAGGAAGGGCCTCCGCTCCAGCCAGGCCTGCCAAACCCGCAAAATCCTTTGTTTGGAGAAGAATCCTGTCCTGCTATTTTCATTGTTATTTCCAAAACAAAGCAGGCGGCTGAAGCTGGTTTTTGCATTGTTGTGCATTTTGTTTTAAAGAAATAGAGGAACACAGTTCCTCACCAAGTTAGAGGGACTCTGTATTTATTTTTTTATTTTTTGGGTGGGAGGGAAGTAGGAAGGTTTTTCTCCAAAGGTCTTGTCCTTCCTTCCTTCCTTCTCTATTTCTCTTTCTTCTCTTTCTCTTTCTTTCTTCTATTTTTTTCTTTCTTTTTCTTTCTTTCTTCTGACTTAAGAAAATTCTGTGAAATTCCCCCTCAGGAGGGTGTGGCACTCTGCACATGCTCTCGGGAGGCCTTCCTTCCTTCCTTTCTTCCTTCCTTCCCTTTTTCTTTCTTTCTTTTTCTTTCTTTCTTTCTTTCTTCTATCTTTCTTCATCTTTCTTTTTCTTTCTTTCTTTCTTCTGACTTAAGAAAATTCTGTGGAACTCTCCCTCAGGAGGGCGCAGCACTCTGCACATGCTCTTTGGAGGCCTTCCTTCCTTCCCTCGCTCCCTCCCTTTCTTTCTTTCTTTTTTTCTTTCTCTCTCTCTTTCTTCTAATTTAAGAAAATTCTGTGGTACTGTCCATCAGGAGGGTGGGACATTCTGCACATGCTCTTGAGAGGCTCAGTTGCTGAGAATCTCCCCCCCCCCCTCCAATGCTACAGTATTGGGCCAGATGAGGACTGCTAGTTGCCAAAATCAAAAGGATGCTAATAGGACAGTGATGGTGAACCTTTTAGAGACCGAGTGCCCAAAAACTGGCCCCGCCCCTGCTCCACCCCCTGCCCCACCCCGCCTGCCTGCAAGGCCACTCACCGCCTCCAGGGCCCGCTGCAGATCACCCAGGCAGCCCAGCAGCACCATGGCGGCCACGCCCTCTCCCTGCGCCCTGCAGCATCAACTGTGCACAATGGGGCGTGAGGGCAGAGTCTTGTCTAAGCTGCGTGGCTGCCATGTCCTTGGCTGCGCTGCTCCGCATGGGCCACACTTGGGGGCGACTCTCCTCCGGGGGGGCTGCTGGTGAGGGGGGTCATGAGGGGGAGGCAAGTCTGGGGCAACGGCACGTGTGCCCACAGAGAGGGCTCCGAGTGTCACCTCTGGCACCAGTGCCATAGGTTCGCCACCACTGTAATAGGATATCCTGTGTGCATCAATGTGGTTATGGTTTTCCTCTTTTCTGAGAAGCAAAGTGGAAGGGTGCGTTTGGCAGGTGCTCTGAATTAATCTGGCCCTGATTTCAAAGTGTCGGGAACAAGTGGGTCCCTGAGCTTGCTTGTTTTCTTGCAGATGTTTCATAACCCAAACTAGGTTACATCATCACTACTAGCGCAGATTTGACTATCCCTGATGATGTTAGAGTAACGAAACGTCTGCAAAAAAACAAAGCAAGCTCAGAGAGCACCAAAGATCCCTCACTTCAGACCAGTGGTCTTCAAACTTGGCCCTTTTATGACTTGTGGACTTCAACTCCCAGAATTCCTCAGTCGGCCATTTTGATGTAACTGTGGGCTTGGATCCAAGGCAGGTGTGCCTGACTGAGGAATTCTGGAAGTCCACCAGTCATAAAAGGACCAAGTTTGAAGACTCCTGCTGTAAAGTAATCTGAATCTTCTTTTTCTTTCATTTTTAGTGTCAGTCTGTCCATTTCTGCACAATCTAAAATTTTCTTAATTATCTCTTCTTCGGGAATTTTTTCTGGCTCACCAGGTGGGGAACCCTTCCTTCCCTCCCTCCCTCCCAGTGAAAGAAAAAGAAAGGATGGAGGAACATCGCAGCTGCTCCAACACTTGAGATCCCCACATTTTCTTAAGCCATCAAAACACAACTTCCTTCTTCAGAAGCGCTTACACAGGCAGTCCTCGATTTACAACTTAGTGACCGTTTTCCACACTTACGACCGCAGGAGCATCCCCACGGTCACATGATCAAAATTTGGCCGCTTAACATATTTATGACGGTTGCAGTGGCCGTGTGTGTGTGTGTGTGTGTGTGTGTGTGTGTGGTGATCCCCTTTCGCCACTTTCTGACAAGCAAAGTCAAGGGGTAGGGGAAGCCAGACTCACTTTACAACGGTGTTACACACTGAACAACTGCACGGACTCACTTAACAACTGTGGCAAGAAAGGTCCATAAAAGAAGGCCAAATTCACTTAAGGAACGTCTTGCTTAGCAACAGAAATGTCAGGCTCCGTTGTAAGTCGAGGACTAACTGTAATAAGACTGACCATCGCAGCAGAAGAGAGAAAGGGGAAGGGGAGGGAAAGCTTCCATCCTCGCTCTACGACAGCCGGGTTGGTCGGGCTGAGGGGAAGGAAAAAAAAAAAACCTCCCTTCGCCTCCTCCTTGAAATCCACGTCACTCTGCACGCGCTCAGGAATCCCGCTTCCTTAATCCACTTCACTCTGCACGTGCTCAGGAATCCCGCTTCCCGAAGCGCCTTCCGAAAGCGAAGGCGTCCGCGGGACTGTTCCAAAACAGGTGGGGTTGTCCGCCGAGCCCAAGTCGCAGGTCGCAAGAGCGAGGCACTCTGCACATGCTCCGGGAGCGCCCAGCTGGAGCAAGCTTAAGGCCCACCCTGCGCCTCGCCCCGAAGGCGAGAAGCGGGCGAGGCGAGGGCGGTGCTTTTCCCCGGCCGATCTCACCCACCCACCCGCGGCTCCTCCTCCCCGCTTCCTCCCCTCCGAGGCGGCGGCGGCGGCGGCGGCGCTTGGGGATCGTCCTTCGCCCGGCTGCTTTGCGCGATGTGAACGTGCGGATCGCAGAAGCGGCGGGCGGAGCGCGATGGAGCGCACCAAGCTGTTCGTGGCGCTGGATGTGCTGTGCCTGGTGGTCGGTAAGGACCCCCCGCCCCACCTCCCTTCCCTTCCTTCACGCGGGACCAGAGAAGGGCGCCCCTTTTTCTCACGCCCCCCCCCCACACACCTGGCTCCGAGGTTGGATCCTCCCTGAATGCCTTTATCTTTGGGGGGGGGGAAAGGGGGTCCAGGGCCACCTCTTTCTGTGCTTCACATCTCTCCTCCAAAAGACGGATCATTCGATGGATTGTTTGAATAGCTGGCTGACTGGTTAATTGATTGATTGACTGACTGATTGATTGATTGGTTGATTGATTAACTGATTGATTGATTGATTGATTGACTGATTTCCATTTGGGTCCTTTAGCGGTCATTTCTCCTGGTGGGAAAAGTTTTATCCTTTCTTCTGCTCCTCTTAGAGTTGTTTTAAGCCCCCCACCTTTCCCTCTTTCCAAAGACTTTTTCCGGGGTGCTTTGGGGAGCCCTACAGAATTGTGAGTTTTTCTTCCCGGTAAATGTACTTTTGCCCCCTGTCTCTTCCGTCCTTCTTTGCGTTCCTGGGGAAGGAAAACTCCCGGGGACCCGTATGACAAACTCATACTTTACCAATTTGCTGTGGAGCCTTATTCCTTATTTCTTATAATGCTGCCGCCTCTTTTATTGATACCAGCTGGGCGGGGGGGGGGATGCTCCCCCTTCCATTGGAGAAAACAGACCCAGCATCTCTGTTTTTCTGGTTTGAATGCTGTTTGAATCTGCCTTTCCCTGTCCCTTTCTAAAAAAAATAAAATAAAATAAAACCCTTTCCACCCAAGGATTGCATTCACAGGACACGCTTAACCTGCTTCCCTTTCCTGAGTTCACACAAGATCCAGAATTAACCAAAGGGCTGATTTATGAGACTTTCAGAACTGCCAACCTGGGTGCAGGCGAACAAGCGTCGTGCAATTGTGTCAATGCAAGGGCTGTGTCTTTTGTTGGGAGGGGATTGCATGGGTTGTGTGAATGCTCAGCCAGGCAGAAGGAAAGATGTGAACTCGGTGCTTATCTGTAGATTTTGGGGGGGAAAGTTTTCCGTGCCGTATTTCTCAACGTTAGGAACTTTAAGATGGGTGGATTTCAACTCAGCATGGGGAATTCTGGGAGTTGAAGTCCACCCATCTTAAAGTTCCTAAGGTTGAAAAACACCATTTTGTGGCTTCTCAATGGACTTTCTTTCAGGAAATAGTCAGCATAGCTTTGGAGTCCAACAAGATTAATCATAATTAATTTAATCACGGTTTAGCGAGAAAGTCTACTTTTCTGCATAGGCAGCCTCCAAAACAGACTGCCTGTCTCATTAGACCAGGGGTGTTCAAACTTGGCCCTTTTATGACTTGTGGACTTCAACTCCCAGAATTCCTCAGCCACACCTGGCTGAGGAATTCTGGGAGTTGAAGTCCACAAGTCATAAAAGGGCCAAATTTGAACACCCCTGGCCTAGACTAAGCTGGCTGGTTTGAAATATAATGTGTGATCTGAACCCCTGGGTCCCCAGACCCCAGTTTTTTCCCTCATGATCAGAATGACGTATCAAACTTCAAGGACTCGGTCGTAAGTCCCTTCCTTCAACGTTGTAACTTTGAACAGTTTTAATGTCTCTGTTGTGATGGGTATGTGTTTGTATATTGTAGCACAAATAAAAACTACTTTTACAGGCTTATGACCACAACTGAGCCCCAAATTTTTCTTGCTTATTGAGTTTTGCCCCATTTTACAGCTTTTTTTGGCCAAAGTTGTTAAGTGAATCACTTAACAAAGTTGTTAAGTGAATCACTGTTGTTAAGTGAGTCATGTGGCTGTTAAGTGAATCTGTCTTCTGCCATTGCTTGTTGGAAACTGGCTGGAAAGTTTACAAATGTATAAATACATTTGTATTTATTTCATAAAGATATCTCGGTTGCCAAGCACCTGAATTTTATCTACTTGGCCAGCAGTCGTAAGTGTGAAACGTGGTCATAAGTTACTTTTTTTCAGTGCTGCTGTAACTTGAAATGGTCACTAAGCAAATAGCTGTAAGTCGAGGACTACCTGTACCCAATTTGGGGTAATTTACCAAGATTTGGAAAGTTTTAGGATTATTTTATGTGAGGGGCCCTTTTAGCCAGGACAAGAGGGATGTTGTGACAGGTATGCGTGGGAGTGAGTTTTGAACCTGAATTGTTTTGGGGTGCACACCCAGAATTTTCAGTGTGGTTATGGATTTTGGGGTGCATCGTTGTCAGGGGGATTCGGTCCTGCATTCCAAAATCAGCAAAATTCTTAGGGATCTGAACTGGGACGGGGTGAGTCCAGACGTGGAGAAGTTTACAACAGGACTTTCTCAAGGCCACTATTTTAACAAGTGTGACTTTGAACCGGGGATTTTGAGGTCAAAAAAGTCAAGATGGCAGCCACAAACTATGCAACTGCAGGCCTGCCCCCTTTCGGTGTGTTTCATGTTGGTGGGGGGGGCACCTTCTTCAATTTTTTTGACCCTCTCTAGACACCCCCAGGCGGTAGCCAAATTCTGGAAAGGACTTTTTAAAAAAGACATAGAATATTTTTAAAAAAAAAAAAATAAAGCCTATATTTAGTTCAGAATGCTAGCTCCAATTTCATCTTAATTTGAAATGTTTTGCCCTGACAGTTTCTAAACCAGGGGTCTTCAAACTTGACAATTTTAAGACTTGTGGCTGTCTAAGGAATTCTGGGAGTTGAAGTCCACAAGTCTTAAAGTTGCCAAGTTTGAAGACCCCTGTTCTAAAAAGTCCGGCCTCAACTGAGATGTGAATGCAGCTAGTCGTGATATAAATAGCCCCAATATAAATGGGGAAGGGGGTATTTGATTCTCCTGACTATGTGAGTAGGAAGGCCAGCATCTTGACTGATAGCCCATTGATAGGCAATTTCATTCAACTAGAGATTTAAATTGCTTTTGTTAAAACATTTTGGTCCCCTGCCTTCAATACTTGTGGTAGTGAGTTCCAGAGGCCCAATAGGTATTGGTGGTGTGAAGGTTGAACATTTGTTGTTCTGTGGAATAAAAGCTGGGCAGCCCAGGCAAACAGGGGGAACCTATTTGGAGGGTGATAGTGAGGCAGGACATAAAACAGGACATAGGACATAAAACAGGACATAGGACATAAAACAGGACATAAAGAAGACATGAGTCTCATAGATCAGGGCTTTTCAACCTTTTCACCCATTGTACCACTTTTAGGATATGGCAACATCCAAGTACCACCAGTCGCCTAGCAAGGTGTCAAAAACTTGATGACCAAAAAAAAAAAAAAAAGGAAAAAAGTGATACAGGTAGTCCTCAACTTACAACAGTTCGCTTAGTGACTATTCAAAGTTACAGTGGCGCTGAAAAAAATGCACCCCAAGCCACCGCCGAGCAAGACACCAACCTGCCTGCCCGGCAGTGCTCTTCCTCCTGTCCGAGGTTTTCATTGTTGTGAGCATTTCTGTTGAGGATTGGCAGTGGGGGTGGAGTGGGGGGGGCGTTTGGTTTTTATTCCCCTGTCTGCTGGGTGGTTGCAGCAGGTTTTGGTCACTTCACATGACCCTGGGACACTATGGCCGTCATAAATATGAATCAGTTGTCAAGCATCTGAATGTAAATCACAGGACCCTGGAGATGCTGCAACATTCCAGCTGGTCGGCGCTTCTTCTGGGCTCAGCAGAAGCGCCAGGATCAGTGCCAAGCTCCAACTGGAGCCTTGCACTGATCCTGGAGCTTCCACTGAGCCCTGACTGCCCTGCAGCTCCAGCCATCTCTCACTCAGGCTGCCACCAATTCAGCTCATTCCCCTCCCCCGCTACCACTTTTCTAGGATGGTCGCGTACCACCTGCCAGGTGCCAATGTACCACAGGTGGTACCCGTACCACTGGTTGAAAAGCCCTGCCATAGATAGTGAAATGCGTGTATTAGTTAGAAGGAGAAAAAGGAACTGGAAAATGTCAAACCACAAGTTCATCTATCGGTCGCACAAAGGTGTCAAGCATGAAGCTCTGTTACAGGTAACCACATATGTCTCTATGTCTCACTTGTAGCTAATCACAAATGTTCTGCAGGAAACTTAGAAGCTTTGGCACGAAACCTGTAACCTCGAGGGGGGGGGAGACAAGATATTTTAGCTACTTTAGCATAGCAACAGGGGGCTGTGATTCAAGTAACCAATCAATGCTAACAAGTTATATTTCCGTGTTTTGCTGTTTCTGAAGAGTACATATGAACTTGTTTTTTTTTTTATAAGAAGCTGTTCAGATGTGCTTACAAATATATTGCTCTGAACCTTGCGCAAATAAATCAACTTCTTTTGATTCCGTGGTCAGTCCTGTGGTTTTCTGCAACAATAGAACGAGACAAGCACATCCCATATGGCACATGGGATTTTGCATTTTTTATGAATGAAGATTAAAAACTAAAGGAGGGAGGGAGGGAGGGAGGGAGGAAGGAAGGAAGGAAGGTAGGTCAGTGTATCCTGGACAGGGATGGATGGATGGATGGATGGATGGATGGATGGATGGATGGATGAGTGGGAAGCAGGGGAGGGATGGAGCAGAAGGAAGAAAGGAAATGGAGGAGGAAGGAAGGAGGGAAGGAGAGGAAGGAATAGAAGGAGGAAGAAAGGAAAGAAGAACTAGGGAGGGAAGGAAGGAAGGAAAAGGGAAGAAGAGGGAGAGAAGGAAGGAATTATGTGGTTGAAGCCGCCATCTTGACTTTTTTGACCATATGTATACATCTGAAGTGGACTGTATTGTTTCTCTGGGCCACATATGTGTGTGTATGTGGGTATATGCATAATTTATTTATTTTTTTTGTAATCTTTATGCAGTCTGTATTGGAGATGATTACACTTTGAGAGCTGTATTCAACGAAATCTCATTTTAATGTATACTGATTAGTGTACATTTAAAGTGACAATACAGTTATCCTATCCTATCCTATCCCTGCAGAAATACTACTGGGCATTTTAGGGTTCTTAGCTTGTTGGGTGGAGATGTTGATTT